TGGTAGATAGAAAAAAATCTTTTTTTTTATTTAAAATAACGTTGAAGCCAAAATTTATTTTATTTATTCAACCATAAATTATCTTATAGTCGTCTGTTTAGTGTGTTAATATTTCTTGACTGGAATTTAAATTTAAATTGTTGTATGAAAAACGCTCAACGAACAATGCATGTAAACATATCATAGATTTAAAAAATAAACTTCTTACCGATCAAGAAGACCCGGTGGTGAATAAAATGATTTTTGCACGTGAGGTATTTATGAATTACTAGTTTTCTAGTTTTGAATCACTCGGACGCTCTTGGTTGAAATAGGGGATCAACGTGCGGAGGGCGGAAACGGCATACAAATTCTTTTGCTCCATTTACCGTGTAGGAACAATAAAAACGATAACTGAACACTTTATTGCTTGCCAGCTCTAAATAGTACGCTACTCAGGTTTCTTTTTTAAGAAAAAAAATCCCACAATAGTCACGTAAAAACCATATTTTATTGACATTATTACAATATACTCTTTATATACGGCTATAATACTGTACCTATGTTATATTTTATGCCAATGTGAAATTTACTTCCTCGTACCGTCAGTCATCCATCGACCTGCAGTATCTTCAGTTGGTCTTTTTTTATTTTGCAACTCATCGCTCAACTTTATTTTATTAACAGCGTAAAATCAGTCTTCACAATAAATTTATACAAACGAATCTTAATGGCATTTAATAGTCAAATTGACTGACTGCGGGTACACATATGTCATTATATATTATCTGACATACCTAAGTAAAAAAAGAGTATCAGTTGGAAGAATATAATATTTTTAGGCGATTGAAGAATATATAGCACAATTTGTATTACCTTAACAACTGAAAACAGTAGGTATTCGTTCTCACAATGGGTTTTAAATTAAAATCTAAACGTGAACGATTTAAAAGAAATACACAACCTTGTAAATAATGCCAAATCTGTTCTTGAATCAATAAAATAGTTGCAATTGTTTTAAAAAAAAAAAGTGAAAAAATGTATACCCAAATGTATTTCTAATGTATAATTATCGTTTAAATTTTAAATTAAATACTATAGTATATGGTATATCCGTAAATCTTTTAACGTAATTTTATCCAAAACATTATCAACTTTCAATTTGATACAAGTATTTTATTTTTGCTATTACACATAGAACCATTAATAGTTTATTTGCGTGCTTGAAATATATGTTTTAATATGTGCGTATATATAATATTCTAAATTCGTAATCATGAAACAACTAACAACAGTAATAATGACTTAAAAACTTGTAAAATGTCAGTGTAATTATTTAAAAAGTCGTTTTCTTATAATGTAACTTAACTGCACATACGCGCACACATACACAATACACATAAAACTATGTAATTGGACATTTATGGGATATTGGGATATGGAAATAAGCAGTTAAAATAAAAATATTTATGATATTATAGAGCCCGCCAAGGCATAACATGATATAAGATATAAATATTATTCAATATTATACGTACCTAACCATCAACCAACTATGTAAAATATTAATTATACATTGTAATTTATTCCGTCATTTCACTGCATAACTTTTTATTTTTTTTTTTTTTTCATTATTTATTAATTTTTATCTTATATTACCTTCCCCTCTACAAAAATATGGATGAATTATTAAAAGAATAATTCGTTGTCAATCAATGTCCACTCCGACTGTCCACCCTATTGTCTACAAATATAAGTATACAATTCTTGGCATATTCATGTATAATAGGTATAACCGTCATTATATTTCTTGTATTCTACCGAAAACCTAAGATAAGGGACATTTTCAAGTACAATTTATTTTAAATAAATTGTATTACCTATTTTATATTTTTAAATATTAAATAAAATTATATTTTGTTTTACACTATATAGTATGCACCTATCAATAACTATTAATAAATTAAAACAGTTATAATTTTTTTTCCCCGTGTTAAAATAATTATTCTTCCATACACAGAATTTTTAAACATGATTTAATTGAACAAATTACAAGTCAATTTGGTATAATAATTTCATAAATTATTGTATAGAAATATTGTCAATAATTTTTATTTTTAGTTATTTGTTTTAAATTGATTTACTTTACCACTTTAAATACAACTTTGTATTTAATATTTAAAATACATATTTCAGATTATACGTTTGATATGATCTGTTTAAAATACTATACTTAAAATATATTTTAATATCATCACATGAATAACACAACCAAACGTAATTTATGATAGGCCAATCGAGAATATAGAGGACAGAAACTTTTAAGTATCTTACAGTTGGACTGAACAAAACCAATGAAAGCGCAGGCCTAAAATCGAAGAAGATTAGGACCCGTATTTACTTCATCTATTTAAATACATAATGGAATGTTGAAAGTTTGAGATCATTTTCAATTCAAAAACAAGAATCTAAGTTTCAAGAAAAACATTTGCTTGCAAATAATTTTAAAAAAAATTAACTGGTATTTAAAAGTAAAATATCATGGAAAATGTTTTGACTCAAAAATAATATAGTAACTAACAATAAATACAAATAAAATTAAATAATTATAGCTAAGATAGACAATGGTGAAAAAACGTGATAATTGTGACATAGGGTCATAGGGACGAAACTTGACCTATATAATTATGGATAAAAAAAATTCATTCTACTCACTACTACTACAACTACGTATAATCGAGCACTTTATCGCAATAAAGACTAACACCTAACTATTGCTTTATGACTGCATACTACTTAAATCTCCCAAAACCATATATTTTATAGGACAGGTTAGTCGATATTTTGAATTTTAAATTATATTTCTTAATAAGGAGGTATACAAAAAGGAAAAATGGCAGAGATAATATTTTATACTTATAATGTGTCCATGTTTTCTAAACAATTTCCATACGAATCAAATATGTATAACATTATTTAAAAAAAAAAAATAAAAATAATTCATCACATCAACGAAATATTTCGAACGTAAGGTTTAATAGCATGAACCTAGATTATACGAGTTTGTTATCGCTTTCACATTATACAAACAGTACCTTCGTCAGCATTAGCATTAGGTACCAGTGAATAGTCCACGGGGAAATAAACCACAACTCTTTTCTTTATTTAATGAATAACCAACTCCACAAGAGCTATTAAAACTTCTTGAATGTATACCGAGATAACAATAGACATTATTATATTAGTATACGCTTAACGAATTCACTAAGCTCTTTTGAAAGTTAATTTAAATGTTTATTTTTATTATTTTTTTGCGATTGGTCGGAAGTTCTTTGTCTTGTATAATATTTTTGTGTGCGTATATAATATTAGAACCATTGGACATACAGCTTTTATTTATTAAATGCGCTCCTAAACTCGTAAAATATACCATCGTATAAACGTATGACATATTCTTCGAATCGATCGATTTCCTTCGCAAAAACGTAACATAGCTCTATAGGTGCGCTTAAAAAATACTGACATCACGATATTGAAAAAAAAAATAAGCACAATTCAAGGTGGTTCGTGTTTTGATTTTTTTTTATTATTTTATTTATAAAACCGTATCATACTATAAAAATATAATATAGAATAACTTACCATTTCTTTTATTAATTTACAATGCATTTTAAATATTATGTAATATTATTTTATCATACTTTCTTAAGGACCATATTATTACATAATTATACATTAAAAACTTTTGTACAGTTTTGATTTATCTCATGTGTTATACACGAGTACACGACTAAATATTTCCGAGTAGAAAAAATAAGAAACAAACAATATATTATAATTATTATTGTCTATTCTTTTTTTTAATAATCAACATAAATATTGACAGTTTATTTTATATTATCTAAGCCCTCTAAGAATAAGTATTAAACTAAAATCGAAAATAATATTCCACAGTATCTCCACTACACGTGTATATTATAATATTTTCAATTTCATACTATATATAGTTCCGGGGTTATTTATTTTCATAACATTACTTTTTTTCCTCCGACAAAGTGTAGGTACCTACATAATAAGATAGGAAGGTACTTCCCTTTTAAAAACGCTGACACTGCACGTAGACGGGAATTAAATATAGATGGTTCGCGATCACAAACTATGTATAGAAAAGTAGGTATCTACAAAAATCCAATGATGAAATGAAAATGTATAACCATTTAGCCATAATATTTATAGCATACACCGTAATATTATTTTGTGTCATATAATATTATGTTTGTACAGTATTCGAAACGATTTTAAGCCTATTGAAAAATACGTCACGCGTAAAAAATAAAGGCTAAAAAAATGACCTTTTAAATGATTAATATAAAAATAAGAGTAGGTTGTAGGAATTTACGTGGCGGCGAAATCTAATTATATATGGTATTGAGTTTGTATAAAAATTTTAGTCATAATTTTCAGTCTTTTAACGTAACCTTTTTTTATGCAAATAATAAACGAAAAAAAACGAATATTTTAGGTACATATTTAAACGTTTAAATATATTATGAACTCTAAACATTTGTCTTAGCAATACAAACATTATAAACAAAAGAAAAAAATTATTAAAACTTTTAAAGTGAATAAAATATGAATTTAATCATTTAAAAAGGTATCTACATATTGTATACTTATTGTATAAAATATTTGGTTCCATCAAGTTGATAAATTCATACAACGAAGTTAAATAAATATTTTAAAGAACCATACATACTAAATATAGTATAATATAATATAATATTATGTGTATTTATTTTAGATTATCATCATTGTCTCACTGTTTGTGTGCAATGATGAAATTTAAATATGAAAAACTTTTTAAATATCCTTAATATTCTTATTTACCCACAACAGGAAAATCTTCAATAAACGAGAAAAGATTTTCAATATTTAACTAAAGTTTTTATATTTATCCAACACTGAATATAATATCATGATATTATTAATATGCGACGTGAATATTTTTCGTGGTTTTTCAGGCCAAGTTGGAAACTAAAGCACTGAAAGCAAAACGTCCCGGATTTACCGATGAAAGATACAACGAGACATCGTACTATATTGAAAACGGTAAAAATACAAAACAATAATAATATACCGAATCCATATTTTTTTTTCTAATAATATATTTAATTAAAATCTTATTTTTTAAATTTATTATGTATATATTTAAAAACCATACTCTCAAATACTTAAATTTGTTTGCATTTTAAGGAGTAAACTATAGCAATATACAAACGACTATTTTTCAAATTGGAACGCTGCTCTTATTATTGTAAAATCTGAAGATGATATTATATTTGTATATATAAATCAAAATCCAAACGATAAGTTTCTAAATTATTTAAATTTGTGTTCTAAGAATTATACTCTATGAAAACTGCAAAGTTGAACGATATAGTGATAACAATAATTCAAAAATTATAATTATTTATATTACTATATTACAATAATTGTAATTAATAAAAATTGTCGAAGTATAAATAGTATTAAACTGAATATTACATATATTTTACATTTTATTTATAACCATTATCCTTAGACCAAAGTATCTAAGGTTCAACAACTCAGAAACTACTCACTTAAATTCTTTTTTAAACACATCAAAATTTTCAAAAAAAAATCAATCATTTAATAATTCACAGTTGAAGATGGTTTACATTTGAAAATATTAATTTTATATGTCTACACTCCTTAAATGGTGGGTAAAGATGGCAGTAAATTAAAAAAATTATCTGAAAATATGGTCTTTAAGTATGCTGAAAATACTAAAAAAATATTAAATCATAATTGACATGAGGCATCGTCTGTAGGAAAGTCGAAAATGATATTGAAAAAACATATACGGTATACTCACATTATTTCGTTCTCGTTTAGGTTTAAGAAAAGTTTATCCGTACTATTTTACATTCACTACATTCACCAAAGGCAGATGGGTAAATCAAAATATACTGGACGTGTTCGCCAGGGAGTTCAGAGCACATCCAGCTGAAGAATACGTGAGTACCTACCTACTTGTATATATGTATATTATATTTTATTTACTATCGCTTATTTCATGTACAGCACATTTTACAGCAAATTGTTTTCGCAAAAGTTATCACCGTCTAAATTTCGTATAAATTTAAGCAATGACAAATAGTTATTTTCTCAACGCAAATCGTTAAATTTTTTTCAAAAAATAAAAATAAAAAACCTTAAATAATTTAACATGTGCCGGTTTTTAGATCAAAAATGTAGGATCTTTAAAAACAATAATAAATAACCAATCCTTAATTATCAAATAAATCATTTGAATAGAAGGATGCTGTGATAATTCATAGACATAATATCGTCGAATTGAATCAGTAATAAATAATTATCATACACAACATAATTTAATTGTGTCTATAATATTATCTAAAAAATAATTAACATGATAATTAATGTCCAAAAAGGTGTGGCACTCTATATTTATCTTTCCTGTTCTTTTATATTCAGGTACGAGTATTTTACTGATTAAATGGTTAGTAAATAGCCTCTAGGATTATTGCTTGATCGACAAAAAAAAACCTTAAAATAACATTGTATTTTCTGGTACACCGACAAAATATCATCGGTAAAATGTCGCGTGACCAAAATATTGCAAAAAACATGTCGTGAAACCAATATATCGAAAAAAATAATGTCGCCGTAAATTATTATCGCATCTGTTAAATCCAAATACACCAATAATTAAAATAAACAAGACAGTCAGTTGGGCTGGACGAGTAAAAAAAGCAGTAGTAGATTATCATAATCGAGAATTTGAAAATCATCTTCAAGGTATTTCTTTAATTTTTTTTTTCAATACTTATATCAATTTTATTGAATTATACATATTTTTTTTTAATCTTTATTTGATTATTATAATTTATACTAGTGTGATCCGTTCACATGCCTTTTGTACACCCGTAGTTATTTCAAATGTGAATTAACTAAACCGTTTTAAATAAACCGAACTGATTAAACCGAATTAACAGCCGTTTACATGCATTTAACTCCGGGAATCAACTAATTCGAATTGAGTTAAATCAGTTTTAGCTGTGTATGTAAACGTAGTAAATATTATTTATTTCTAACTAAATTACTGCTATATTTCATACTGGCGATTTGTGTGCTGGCGATATTTATTCCGTGCGATACTTTGGTCACGCGATTTTTTACTGACGATATTTTGTCGGTGATTCGCAATTTTTTCACAAAAATATACAAGACTTGCATGATATTGCCTATTATATACCCATGTAATGGGTACAAAATTTATCATTTCATATTATTTAAACATTTTAATATTGATTTTTTCATTCGCAGGAACGTTGCATTAAATCCGGTTCGTTGACCGTAAATTATCAAAAAGTGGACACGCAATACAAGTTGAAACACAACGATCTACTGGCTAACGTGGTGCACAGGTAAGATACATTTTGTGATACATCCTTCAGCGTGCATACGACAAATATTTATCCCTTTATCATAATCAATACCCGTAAATAATAATGTTCTGCGTAGTATACAAATAATAATATTATTTATACAGAATGATTCCTCAACCACACTAAATCCCATTTTTTTCTCTCTTAAATTGTAATTGTATTAAAATTTCAATTTTTGAATTTTTAATTATTTTTGAGGACTACGTTTTTAACTAATTAAATATTTCTTACCATTTAAGGAACGTTCTGAGGCAATACAAACTTTATTTTTTCAATTAAAAACCAACATGTTTTATTATAAAGAAATTATATTTTGATTAGTTAAATAACTCGAAAACTAATAGGTAGTTCGAATTTTGAGTTAGATACTTTGAAATTTACAAAAAAAAAAAATGATATGCAAAGAAATTTATCACCACAAAACATTTATTGATAATGGTATAATAAATGCTAGAATTTTAAAATATAATCCTTACGTGTACTTAAAAGATTCATAATCTAAGTTTGAATACGTATATTTATCATCAAAGGAAAACACGTGGGTAAGCAATGAATATGCTTAGTGAATCACTCTGTACTTATATATTTTTTTGGAAGATAACTCTCCACGAATATCTATATCACCTATACCATCACAGTCTGTTCTCGAAATGGTATATATTTTATTATTATAATACTGCTTAACCTAGACTATGACAAAAAAAAAATCCTACCGTATTTATAGAATGTATATACTTACACAAATTCTAACAATTAACGTTCCAAAACCCGAAAGCCAAAAGAGGAAATTTAAAGCTATGTTGAAATTATATTATATTCTGAAAGGATGTTTCTTTTTATAACCATTATGCGGTGCTTTGTTTAGAAAAACGAATGCATGATCACAGACCACCATACCTATTATAGCGTTTTAAAATACAGAAATCATCTCTTACAATGTATAATAATATTATTATGTATCCACGTATCTCACCATAGCAACATACCCAAATCTTTTGAAATAAAAACAAAAAACTCAATTGCAATGAACACCACTTATAGTATGTACTATGTAGTATATACATATTTTGTTCAAATATGTCACCACAAAAAAAAACTATTCAGTTTTGCTGAGTAAAAAGTCTAATTCTTTTAAATTATTAAACAACAAACTTAAACTACCTACGCATTATTATATTTTAGAATATTTGGTTTAATTATGAAAGGAATACAATCAAAAATATTATCTACTGAATATTTTATTATTGTTACATGTTGTTAATATTTTATATGTGTGCTCACTGAAATAGTAATTTTTCTTCGGCTTTGTTTAGGAAATGACTACTGCTAATTACCCACTAGTTACTTACAAAATCACAGTGTTTTATCGATCGTTTCACATTTCCCTGCAGTAGTTGACAATCACAAAGATTGTTAAACTGTTGTTCACATATATAATCTTTATGTGCATATCTATGCACTATAATCTTCTAAATCAACGATTCTGAACTTGTAGTCCGCGGCTCCTATCCGGGATCCGCGGCAGACTTAACATATAAATATATAATATACGTTATACGTGACATGAGTGCATTACTACGTTGTTGTTGGATTCTTATTAAAATTATAAATGTGTATGTTTTATAATGCCTACTTGTGTAATTTTAAATATAAAATAATCATTATGTTTCCGCACTTAATAAAGAATGACAGTTTATATTTTTTATTTTAATTTTTTTTTTTCACTATTGAATTATTTCATATTATATAGATACGGTGTATCTTTGCATTTGATAATTGACATATACGTATTATATTGGTAACGTGAATGAAAAAAAAAAATTAAACTCTCGTCTACGAAAGTAACGACCTAGTCTGCCTGTATTCATCCGATACTGCAGAGTACATACCTACTCAAACACATTCGTTCGTATTGTTTCCAATGCTCTCGAAACTTGTACTGTGATCTTGATTACATCCGCTATATCACTATTGTACACACGTTAAATATTACAGACGTGTTGAAATTATCCTAAAAAAAAAATTCCCAATTACCACTGTATGAGTTATTTTCCGCGTGCATACAATTTTCTAAAGTACCTACCTTTAAAAAAAATATATATATATATAAAAATAATAATAATTATTATTATTGTATGTAGGTATACAGGACGTTTCACCGCTCTTGTTCTCATTAATAACTTTTGTTCTGTTTTAAGTGTTTTCTAAAGAAGGTATTTTTAAATCATTACCCCCTTTATTTACAGAGATTTTTATAAAGCGGATATCGTTGAAACGAGACAAACGTGTATATACGAGAATATAATATAGTAGTGACGAGAACAAACGCAATGAAACACCTCGTATAATACATACATATTGTATAATTGAGTAAAAAATAAAAACCACGCACACATACGATGGATACTTAAAAACTATACAATAAAAAAAAAATTAAACAACTTACAGAACAGCATAGTCGATCGGCGCACGCGCGGTACTGCGATATGAGATCCCTGTTCCGATTGTCAAGCAGTACGAACATATATATATATATATATATATATATACGTTGTCCGATGACGATCTCGTTACCTACGTCAACAGGAAAATTAGAGGAAAAAATACGTATTTAATTATGAATAATTTTGCAATTCACATTAAAATACGTATTTTTGTGGATTTCAAGAGTTTTCAACTCGTTATTATACACGTACAGAGTGATTCCGCTAAGCGTGCTCATCCCGCTTTTTTCTTTAATAATGAATTTATTCAAATTTCGATTTTTGGTACTTGTAAATACTGAAATTTGTTCTACCATTTGCGGAGTGTCCTTTGGTTAAGTACCAATTTATTTTTACAAATAAGAACTATCTTTTTTTCTTCATCAATTATTAATCACATTGTTAAATGAAAAATATTAGTAATTATTCGTAATATCAATTTATCAACATTATTTTATAATTTATAAAAAATATTCACTGAGTTTGATGAATACTTGATACAATATTATTAAATCTACTTCATATTTTTGTAACCAGTTTTATGGAGTGTATAATATTATAATGTATACACCATTTTAGTAACTCAGAAACTATTTACCTTAATCTTGATTTTTAAAAGTCAAATGCTCAACAAAAAAAATCAACCGTTCAATAAATTACAATGAAAAATGTTGGTTGTTATTGAGAAAAACATTTTTATCACCACATGAGACTTCAATTAAATGTCATAAAAATATAAATGATTGGAAATATGGCCTTAGTATACTTCATAATGCCAAAAATCAGAATTTGAATTAATTATTTAATAAAGAAAAAAAATGAAGAAAAACGTGCTTCGTAAATCACTCCGTAATTTATTGTACACTACACTGGTATTGTATTATATTGAAACCTGTAACGGAAAATGACTGGCGCCGTTCTTTCTTTAGTTTTTACTTTATTTACTCGAAGACGTTTCCCATTGCACAACACATTGTTGTACTGCACACTATTAACTAGGTATTGTGTAATACACACGCATGCCAGTTCGACGTTGCTTTTAAATGCGATTCAACGTGAAGTTAGTTAGAATTTATGACCTCTCGTCGACGGAACACACACCGCGACTTGACGAATTTTGCTCATGCACGTGCTGTACTATATTATATTATATTATATGCTGTGCGTCGTATTATTTTGACGACTCATTTCATTCGTTCTGTCGTGTAATGTTGTTTCCTTTGGGTTTACGATTATGACGTATATTCGCGTATATAATGGTATTTTGGTTTTTATCTATTCTCTTTATCACTATCGATGTTGACGCCATTTTCTGTATTTGCTGTGTCTCTAACCCCCTCCTCCTTCACACCATTCACAAAAAAAACTTGTGACGTTTTTAACTCTGATTTCCAACAACAATAATAACATACCACAACGACCAATAAGATACATGTACCTACACTTGTACATTTTAAAAGACAAATTTTAATGAGTCTATGACGTTTAAATTAAAATGACGAGTATTAAACATTTTTAGTACAATCAAAAAAAGACAAAACGAAGAATCTAAATCTGTTTTTAAAATTTTTATCGCGTATTTATAAATCGTTCATAACGCGTTAGAATGAAAATAGGTCTTTTCAGCAGCAAAGATAATCCATTTCTAAACCCTTTTAATATGATACGAAACACGAGCATCATTTTTACAACAAAAATAACGATATTTAAAATAATTTAAAATAATAGGTACAAAGTTTTCAATCAACGTAGACGATAGATACACAAAAAGTAAACCCATATAAGTAATTAATAATTATAAGTAGAATTATAATATTACTAAATAGGTACCATACGAAATACATTTTAATAATCCGAGTGATAAATAATGTGTGGTTTAATATTAATTCCACTCTGCATTTATACTTTAGTGCCTGTGTTATTATTACGAGTGCTTTGGATTAGGCTTGGTTAATTGTCAAAAATATACAACTTGGCCACGGTGTGGGTATAGGTCACCGTGAGCTTTTTTTCGGCCATTTTTCAGTAAATTATGAATTATGATGATATTATTATGTGTGGTTGTCTGATGGTTATTTTTTAATTCGACAAAGCGATAGCTCGGCCAAGCACCTTCGTCACCGACACTGTCAGACTAAAACGCTTTCAAATCAAAAAAGGCTTTATGTATACTTTACGCTGTTATTTAAACAAATGACGCGCGTGCACGCTCACATATATGTATGTGTGTATATGACGTATGATATATCTTTATATTACAGACATGAAGTACCGGTGACCAACGATCCAATCACAATCGTGCACATGGACGACGACATCGTGGTTGTCAACAAACCCGCGAGCATTCCGGTAACTAGATTTGTGTAGTATAATTACATCGCCAAAACCACCAAACTGTCTTAAAACTGCGGTGATTTATTTTGGGTCCAGTCATATTATGTCGTACGAGAATAATAAATTAGTTGCAATATTATTAACAACCGTGACGTTGTTTTTCGAAGTAAAAAAATTGTTTGACCACCGATCTGATCGATTTATTTTTATTCGGTTTTAAACATGCGCAAGCACTAAGATCAACTAGGCGGTAACGAAAAAACCATCTCTATAATAATTTTGCAGTAATGTTAATGTTTTTTTTTTTTCCAAATCAATTTTAAACTTTTCGAATTGAATATAATTATTTTGTTTATCATCTACTAACCAATAATACTGACTCAATTCCACCCCAGTTTCTGTACTATAACAGCACGTCATAATATCATTACAACTGCGGCGTCGCGTAGTATAATATAAAATAACTATATTATCGTTACGTCGTCCGGCAGGTTCATCCGTGCGGTCGTTATCGGCACAATACGGTGGTGTTCGTGTTGGCCAAGGAGCACAATCTGAGAAACCTCAGGACCATACACCGTCTGGACCGGTTGACCAGCGGTCTGTTGATGTTTGGCCGGACACCCCGATACGCCCGCATCATGGAGGCACAAATCCGCAACAGACAGGTGAACAAACAGTACGTGTGCCGGGTCGAAGGAAGATTTCCCGAGTGAGTATTCGTTTTAGTTGTTATGCTAAAAATACAAATACGCAGTTGTAAAATGCGCCTATCACTGGCATAAATATATAGAACTGCAGGTTTGAAATGATATACACGTTGTCGTTTTCGTGGTAAATATTGTAATTAATTATAATAACCTTAAAAAAACTCTTATGTTGTGTTTACTCTCTAGTATATGGTAACGAGTGCTAATCAATAAATACATGCCGTTGCGAAAATCGGTATAAATATATGTAATATATATTTTATGATTAATAATAATATATAATATTATGTGATGAACGAAAATTCGTTCTGGGTGATTTCAATTTGTTTCTTATACATTTTAAAACGTGATTTAAAATTACAAACTATGCTATGAAGAAAAATCAATGTATTCTTTTTTTATAATGGAAAAAATTAGGTCATCATTCAACATCGGATATTAATATATATATATACATAAAATAAAGAGCATTTTCAAAGATTTTGGATAAAAAAAACATATATACGTATTTTAAAATTAATAGCGCTTTGATCAGTGTCACTGAGGAGTGACTGTATTTTTAAAAATAATTATGATTTATTTATAAGTCTTAAAATAACTATTGAGTTTTAATTTAGTTAATTTCTCATTAATAAATTGTCAGTTCTAAAAGAGTTTATGTCTAAATCATTAAGATGCTATTTATTATAAAACGTTACTCAGCTTTTAAATTTGTAAGCATAAAAAAAAGATTACGATTTTTAGTATTACATACAAGATAATATGATAGTACATATTTATTCATTTTAAAATTGTGACTTATAATTATATGATTATTTACAGTTTGATCTACTCTCGAGATAAAATTACCTAATAGTATTCCAAAAAAAAATTTTAAAATGAAATACAATTTTTTAATTTTTAGTTTTTAGAAATACTTATATATGAGTATGCAGTGTTAAATTAAAAGTTAACTTGTATATACAGCTTAAACTTTTAGAAATAAATTGGTAAAATTATCTTTTTAACATAAAATTTAAAATTGGTAGGTTTATATCATGTCATAAAACTATATAGTGCCCTTTAGGTACTCATCGTATTCGTGTATATAATGAGTAAAGACATTTTCTTTTTTGTGGTCTATTATTATTATAATCATGTCGGCCCCAATGATGTGTCCCGTAGCGTATTGCTGGAGGCCACAGTATAATAATATATTTTTATATAATATTACCCGTCGCGTTATGTAATTTAGACAAACGATCGAGTGCAATCATCCCATCGAAGTGGTCAGCTACAAGATAGGCGTGTGCAAAGTATCCAACAAGGGTAAAAACTGCTCGACTACATTCCAATTGGTGGGCTACAACGAGAAGACCAACATCAGTGTGGTCTTGTGCTTCCCACACTCGGGACGCATGCACCAGATCAGGGTACACCTTCAATACTTAGGTAAAACTTTTATGACTGTTAACTTTAATGTTACATACTGTAAAAAATATATTAATAATATTATATTTATACGAAACACTATTTCCATCCAAAATGCCTGAGCAATACACGTATAAGTCGTTCTTCGACACAATGACATCACTGAATCGTCAAATCGTTTCACGGTTTAAAATTATAGACTTGATTAGCAATGCATATAATATCATATATAAATCATTTTTCTATCATACCGATTATACCGATCAAACTAAAAAATATTTAATTTCCACTTTTTGAAATTTTAGCATTAAAGCTCCCCTAAATTTAATTTTATAACATCTCAAAATTTAAAAATGTGTCACATTTGTTGAATGGACATAAAATAAACGCGTTTAAGGCCGGAAAGACGTTAAATTAAATAAATGGCTCGGATGTTATGCAATATCGATGGATGTTGAACTCCCGTATAGCATGGTTCGCACTCTTCGCATATTGACCATATTAAACTCCTGAAAAACGGATCACTTGTAATCCTCTGTATATTACATTGTGTGTTTATACCTGTAATACGCAGGCTTCCCCGTGAAGAACGATCCACTATACAACCACATAGTGTTCGGCCCAGAAAAAGGCCGCGGTGGCGTTATCGGCAAGTCGGATGAACAACTGATTCACGATTTGATAAATATCCACAACGCTGAAAACTGGTTGGGCATGGACGGTGACTCGGAACTGATGCCGATATTGAAGGATGTAGACGTTGTTGAAGAAGGAAAAAAATCACCTCCAGGTAAGCAGGGCGTATTAATACACATAATGTGCACAAACGATTTAACAACTATTTGTAAAAGGAAATATTTCTTTAAATTAAGAATTACATTTTCATTTGTGCAATATATTATATTTTTAAATTGGTCGTTGTTCTTCATAGCATTCAACCGCTATTCGTACCAATACTGTCATTTTTAATAATTTAATATGTAATGATATGCTCACATATCATTGTTTATTACATATACATAAAATTCAATTAAATAAATTAACGGTCAAGTTGTCGCACGCAGATTAAACCCTACAAACATCCTTTTGCCACTGACGAAAGAAAACAATTTATATTATATGATCACAAAGGAATTGACACATGAGTTGTGACAATATCTCGAAAAGCGTGTGAACCAATTTCGTTAGCCAGCGGAGGCGGGCCATGGTACAATGAAGCTCTCTGTCGTATAGAAGAAAGACTATTTCTTCGAAAAAACGCTGAGTCCTTTTTTTTATGATGGCATGGTCTGCGACTCTGGCTGGCTCGACCACGTCTTCTCCCCGCAGTGCACGAGCACCAGCCAAAACCACGAGTGCACGAGCACCAGCCAAGCCACGAGTGCGCGAGCACCAGCCAAGTCACGAGTGCATGAGCACCGGCCAAACTATCGAGTGCATGAGCACCGACAAAAATTACGAGTGCGGGCGCACCAGACAAGCGAGCAGGAGCTTTTTCCCAAAACCACCATACGACATACACACAAGACTGCGAGCGACAACTGGACTTCTTTCTTTTTCTAATTCAAATCAGTGTTGTTTTTCTTATTTAAACATAAGTTTTCCTTAAATCGTATTGTAACTTGTGTCACCTTATACCTTTCTCCGAGGAACGTATTATAAGTATTCACTGCGGCGAATCAGGTAAGGTGCATGTCTAAAATACTAATTGTTAGTACAGGTTATGTTACTATCTAATTTGTGTAATGGTGTATTTGATCACATTCTTGAATCACGATCTCGAGAACCCTCCGAAGAACGGGAGGAAGGTAATAACACGAGAACAAGTATACTCAATATTTATTAATACCGGACTTACATACAAGGCTTGTGTCCCTTGTGTCAGTCCGGCCACATCATACTTATAACTCTCATCGCACCATTTTAATATTTTTATATTTATACGTTAGCTAAGTCTTTTTTGTGTTATTACAAATATTATTATTACGCTAACACAAATGTTTTAATATATTCGATATTGATTTAAAATAACAAAATTATAAGCAAAAAAAAAAATTTAGTGTTAATTATTATTATTTTAATAGCCACTAACGATATTAAGCATATTATTATTTCAAATTTGATAATTTATTTAAATACTTAAGGTATTATGTACAAAAAACACGTGTAATGTACTGTACAAGTATCGATGAATTCATAAATAAATCTAACACAACTTTGTTTTCAATATGCTTTAACACATAATACGTATATTAATATGCATAATAATAAAGTGTTTGCCCTGTACATCGTTCATTGGGTAATATTGCTTGAATTTCATTTACAATTTTCGCAATCGCCGATTATTACTTATTGTGCTTTATAATAATAATATTTTAATATATTTTTAAACGCAATTTTTTCTGCAAAAATTATTTCAACCTACTGTATTACTAATAATAATATCAATAAACATAACATAATAAATGCTTAGTGATATAGGCTAATAAACCGTCTCCGCTCAGAATTTTTTTTCGTCTACAATGGTATATCATTGAATTAAAACTTAACACATCTATAACGGTGTCATTTACCATATAGCAAACCGGTTCCTCTTGCCCAACTTTTTTATATTTTATTTCAATAAATTCATGGGGGAATCAACTTGTAAACGATTTTTTTTAAACATGCGTTCATTATGTGTCAGCAACAGATAATAACGTAAAGTCGTGGAATCTATTTTATATGCGTTAATACCTACCTAGTTATAAAAATATTTATTTTTTTTTTAGTGTTTAGCACGTACTTTGTAAAACCCTATCATAAACTATTTGTTCGTCAACAAGTTGTCCCATTCATCGCAGGCAGTTATTGGTATTTTTTATTACTATCACCCGGACGAATCTATTGGCAAAGTTTTTTAAACCATCATGCTGAACTGTATTACTGGTTTTGGATAATTTCCAAGACCGTGTGAAACAGCAACACGTATTTTAGTCATTTTCATACAAAGAAAAAATTTAAAACCTTATTACGCGATAAAAAAAAAAAAAAAATGGTAAAATTCGAAAGCGTAAACTTGAATCACAATTTTAATTTTAATTTTTATGAATGATTTCGTTGATTAAATCCACTGCGGTGTGTATTATGCATTTATGCATAATATTACTTGATTATGCAATTAAAAGACGACTTTTGAAAATAAAATAATTGAAACGATTGCATTTACTTAGTATAGTTTATAAAATACAAAAATATGTAAAATATATTGCAAACAAAAAATTAAATAATGATACGATACCTTTTGCGTAACCGTTTGTTAATTTTTATTATAATAATAATATTATTAAACACAATATAGTTGAATTATTAAAAAACGGCGCTTCGTATAGATAATATAATTACGTCCGCGTGTATAATAACAAATTCATTAACTGGTCCACTACTACAATATTATTATTATAATATCAGGTACAATATTTTACACAATAATCACTTTTTTATACATCCATCACATATCATTCTATATCCTCAAATCATAATAATTTGAACATGATATTAACCGTTATTTTATAATATAATTAGTATAATTCAACGATGCAAACCAATGATAGTATCCAGTTGTGCCCGTTGGTAATAAATTCAATCATTTATGAAACCATCACTCATCATAATTGCAATCAATTTTATTATTTGTCATAAAATTTCAATACCACAAATTAAATGCATACCTTAATAAGACAAATATTTAGTTAACCTATTTAAATTTATTTGTATGTATAAAATTACATCACTGCTTAACTATTTACCTTAATATTTACTAACACAGTCGACCGATTCAGAAATACTAAAACCATGATATATTTTTCAAACTATATAATAATTAATACATGTATTCGTTAATATATATACTATAGAATATTTTATTTTATTACAAAAACAAAATTCCATCACTACTCAAAGCAAAAATTCATTATTATACTATACTCTTTAAATATAATATGTTTAATCTACAACGAAACAAAATATATATACTATATATTTATATGGTTGATTAAAATCATTTTAGTTTTCAAAACTATACTGAAAAAATCCTTTAATTTAAAAATGGATATAACACAATACACATAGTATATTTCATTATTTCTTAGTTGTGCTTTCGTATCTTTGCTTCTATTATTGCGATCCTTGAAAATACCCAGGTTTATATATGAACGAAGTCTCTTGAGAAAATGGCTTAGCGCAGTTTCATTATTATTACTATTTGGATTTAAAATCGTAGTCTTATGTAGAATAATTCTTGTTATTGTAAGATCAACCCTAATGTCTCATACATTTTAAATAATGGATAAATGTTTATTTTATGGTAAAATTAAAACATTTAATATTAAATAACTATACAAATATAAAAAATTTCAAAAATAATTGTTTTAAATACATTTTTAAGCTCATAAAAAGAACTATTCGTATCATATTATCCATGTAGGTATCTATGTATATTTGAAAAAATATCAGCTAACATAGATCAACTTTTATTAAATCTTTGAACTATTTTTTTAAATTATCAATTTCATAATTTAATTATACATTTATTATTATTATCAAAAACTAATCAGAATTAGACTGTACAAAAAAAAATTAATTAATTCAGTTTTAAACACAAATTAATATTTACAAAACCTTAAAATCACGTACATATCAGAATTTTGGAGGTTATTTTTGATTTTTCAGAAAGAACTATATCATATATATATATATGATGTATCCTAAGAAATGTATACTAGATGTACCTAACGCTGATAGTAAGCATTTCATCCCAATTTTAATAAAAAAACTCATACAACAATTATGGAATCAATGGAATATAAGTGATCATTTTTGAAACGATAAAATGAGAAAATAAATAATAGAAAACGATTTTGAAACAAATTGTTCTATTTATTTATTTTTTTATTTTTTTTGATCGCGTATTTATTACATAATATATTACAAGTTTCTAACTACTTCTAACCACTAAAATATTTCTCAATAATATCTATTTGTTAAGTATAATATAATGTATGGTAAATTAATTTTCAATTATTTATTTCATTAATAATCACAAATTTTATAAATGCTATTACCTACCTACTTTAATTAGACTGTACCTACAGACTACATTTATTATAATTTATACTCTAATCAATTTTTTATTACATTGATTTCTATGAAATTATATTTATCATCATTGAAATACATAAAAAAATAAATACTTTATACCTAGGTACCAACAACAACAATAATAATGTCATTACTTTAAAATAAAGTAATAGGATTGTGAATAATTGTATAAAATACAATATTAATTGCGGTGATTTTTATATTATGTTATTTTTTACAAGATTTCAAGAAGAACGACTCGGTGGTGGAACAACATCAGTTGCAAATAAAGGGCAAACAAACTAATAAGCTACAGTTTCAATACGATAATGCACTGAACGTATCCACGCAGACAGGACAAGACGTACCGGACATGGATTTCGACGCGGAAAAGCTTACGCACGACCCTCATTGCTACGAGTGCCGGGTGAAATTTAGGGATCCGAAACCAAAAGACCTCATCATGTACTTGCACGCTTGGAAATACAGCGTAAGTATTTAATTCAACAATAATCTATACGTAGGTATACCGTTATTATTGTTGTATCGAATCAGTCGAATCGTCATCGCGTAATGGAATTAGAAACCAAACGGTATTTGGGACGTGAGCTGATTACGAAAATACTCAATAATAACAATATTTTAGTAGCCACCAAAATAGGATTATATAATAGGTATAACAGATCGATTTCATTCTTTTTAAATAATAATTATCTCTAAAATAAAATCGTTTTCTATAGGTATGCTGTATTAAAATTGTTGTTTTGGCTTACAAATGAATTATTAATGTTGCAAAAAAATAGTATTATACAAATACCATTAAAATAAATTATTTTTGTGTTTAATTCTAATTGCTTACATTTTAGAGTGCAACTACAATATTTATTAAAAAAATAATTATTAAAATTTCATATAAATTATTCAAATTTTATTTAAATAATGAATAATCCATAATATTGTGCTTAATTTACTTAGTTTATTATCCTATATATTATATTCGGAAAAAACATAATATTTGAAAAATTATAAGATAATTATGAACTATTATTATTAAGTATATGAATTTATATCCAATGCTTCATACTAAAAATATAATTATCGTTACTATAGTCTTCAATCGTACTAGAAAATAAAAAATTATTTTAGATTAATATTATAATAACAACCGATGCATTAAACCAAATCTAAAGAGGAAGAACTTACTCATACAAAGTTTAAGCTTTGTACGTCTGAGTACCTATTTGAAATAATATTATTATAATTATTAAGTGTAAGACGAAATACGACATTATGCATAGATTAATACTATTACGCATAAAGAATAATATAAAAAAATCTAACACACTAGCACTGATAATTTAAATAGAATAAACATACAAACTTATATAAAAAACAAATATTAGAAGTAATCGTTATCTTTCGATGCTTTGAAATATATTTATGTATCAAGTACAAGATTCAGCTGACATTTTGTTTAGAAATTTGATAGGTATATTTAGATAATTTTAAAAATATTTTTTCAGAACATGGTAGCCATACTCCACTTTTTACGAATTATTAAGTCATTGTATATTATTGATTAGTTAAATTCACCAATATATATTATTTTAATTTTTATCAAAACCCGCTCGACGCCATCGGCGAAAGGTTTTTTCCATTCATCAATAGCGCACCCAGAAGAGTGGACCTCAAGTCCAGACCCCCTTTTAACTATTATCGTAAAATCAAATTTATTAAATTAAATCAAAATGTAGATCAAGATTTGATATTTTATTGGTGACATGTCGAACATGGTGTAGGTTATATTATGATTACCGGTTGTCATTAACCAATTAATTTTTTCATAAAAGTTTCAACTTTTAATTATCACTATCAATTATCAGTATATATTACAATATAAATTATAAATCAATAATCATATATTTTCTCTATTAATGTTGTGTTATAAGGTTATGTTCTCAATACCCGTTTGTTTTTGAGTTGTGATTGTATTTTTTCCAACGTAAATAATACTATTCAACCAGTGATATTTCTTTTCAAATTCAACACTTGCTTCAGATTGAGATGAACAAAATATTATTCTGAGTATTTCGTTTTAACCGATAGTACGTTTGATATAAAACTATTTAACTAAAATATCTTTACATCGTTTTAAAATAATATAATTTAATGCACAATTTTGATAATGTTGATATCGTACAGTTTTTCAATATTATTTTTCAATATTTATTTAATAATATGTTAAAATATTCAGTTGTATTTATTAAGAAATAAATAGAAAGATAAAAAAGATACAGAAAAACTGTAACTAAATTTTATTTTAAATACATTTTTATAGACTTTTTGGACTCCCCTTCCCCTTAAATAAATTCGGTTACGCCTCTGCCTATATCATTATAATAGCGTGCATATTAAAATTTAATAATCGCATTAAATTGTATTAACAATTCTTTAGACATTACATTTTATGGTAATAAATTCTCATTACTGTTACGATATAAATAACACCTAACTCTAAATTATAAAATATGAAGTGTCATTAAAAATATTTCGTAATGAATATTTACACTGTTAATCACATTAATGTCGATCATATTTTTCATAATAATTGTAAGGCGGTCTTAAGTGTTTCTCATTACTTAATCTTGTATTTTCAATTTATTTTACCTTTAACCTTTCTACAGAAATATTATTTTGCAAATTAAATAATTGGATCGTTTTAAATTTTATTCTACACCATAAATGTGTGCCCATATTTTTGATAAGTTAATTATGAGGTTATTTTATAATAATAGTGTACTATATTATGTTACCAGGCAAAATAATTTATTATAAAAAAGTACATCATAGTTTAAAATGATTTCAAATAATTATTTAATAATAAACGATAACTGAACAAAATAAATTCATCATATTCCTTAATGCAATATTGTGTTTATTGCGTATGATGACATTGTAGATATCATAATATAATATGATCATAATAATACTGTATACATAATGACGAAAAAACGATTCTCTACAACGTATAGAGTAAAAACATAAACTGAAAACTCGATTAAAGGATTTGATTGAAAAAAAAGCCTTGTTTTTAACACGGATAGTAAATAGTTACCTATAGGTAAGCTATACTTATAACAATAAAATTGTGTCCCCTGTAAATTGTATCTACTGTTGTTTGTGAATATATGAAACAGACGGTAGAAGTAAGTACTTAAATACCATCATATATAGGTACCCATATGCAAACTGACAAAGGCAATTCTAATAAGCCAGTATGGTTAATATTGGTATCCGCAGTTCCCTATTCTATACAGACAACGTGGCATTTCAGTAACGGGAATCCATTATTGTATACATTGTACCTACATATTATAATAATATGCACATTGTGCACGTGTAAACGCATAGTATATTTTACTTCCGGATCCTTAGATTCGTTAGGTTTCTTGCACATATCAAATACGACGACTGATGCAGTGCAAATTCAATAGTCGCCCGATATTGCATTTAAACTCGCACACTTTTTCCCCTACCCTGCCACAATCCGAAATTAAATTTGCACACAACGGCAACGTATACAACGTGTCACGCGTATAACTCAGTACCTATACCATAACACTATACATAACGTACGTATACACTTGAAACGATTCGAATAGAAAATTTACGATGCGTAAATACGATACATAAGCCACGGTTGTAATATCATAACAACGGGGGCTTGACGATTGAAGTGTTTCTATATGCGCTTATGCCGTAATAATACGCAGTCTTCAAAAAGTAATTTATTTTATGTTCCAAAAGATGTACGCGATAGGAGAATATTATTGGTTTTACAATGATGTGTTTTTTTGTTTTAGAAAAACGTTTTTCGGTCAATAAAATAAATAGGAATACCCTGCATTTATGCAACCCTCTGAAGCCTTCGCGTCACTCTTGTATCGCTTAAACAATTTCGAGGATAGACTACAAAAATAATAATGAGAAACAACGATACGTACGTAACGTAACACGTCCTTTATTTTTAAAGAAAAAGAAACAACTTAATTTCAAATAAATTCACTGAACCTCAAATCAATTAAAATAATGATTTTGAGCGCTTACGTAAAAAAAGCATGTTTAATTTAATATCACAACAACTTTTATTCATTAATTCATACTTGAATAACCTTCTCAATTATCAAATACCCTATCTAGCCAAAGTGTGTGTTTACTAATAACTTATAGTCAAGTATAAATTATTATTACCTTAAACGTATAAAGAGAGGGTATTCTTTAAAAATTAAAATTAAAACAAATTCTAAGGTAAATTTACATTTTATTATGTTTTTACTGAGATACAATTACACTAATAATGCTATTCAATTTTTAATAAAATCTATGATAAACAAATCATAAGTTTAACTACGTAAAGTAGTAGACATTAAATTAAACGTTCAAACAACAGCGTTCATTTTGTTAAACTTAAATTAACAAGTTTACATTTCCAATTTGTTTGGTCTAATCAGAGTAAAGCCCAAGGGATGATTCTCTAATTGACAAAGCGATGCAGTATTATACTATAGATTCCTTAAATAATGTTTCTATATGATTTAGTACTATATATTTATAATATATTTGCGTGTGTGTGTGCGTACACGTGTACAGATTTTTTACAGCCCGAATTGAATTCCAATTTTTTATTTTATTTAAAATAATAATACATTAATTAATTCATTTAAAAAGAATCTTAAATTATCTTTTTATTTTAAAAGTTTTAGATTAAAATATTTTTAAATGGAATCTTTATGCCCTATACAATATTCCCCTTTATTATCTTTAAAAAAGAATCGAATTAGGTTGATTTTACAGCCTTACAGGATAGGACCATTATTTTAGTAGAGTGTAAACACAAAATGATATTAGCACCGAACACCTTTATAAAAAAAAATATAATGGAAATAAATCGCTTGATTATTGTACCTTCCACCCTCAAAAATATCTTATTTGAACATATGCTACTTATTGGAACTAATACGTATACTAGTTGTAACTTTTAGAATACATTTTTTAAGTATTTTTATAACAATGATTATTATTATTCACTTTGTCCTTTGACCGTATAAATTAATATGAATGATCAAAGATTATTTTAAAACATTAACAAAACATTATTTTGATACATACCAACTGATAAAAAATTTTAAATTTTTTTACCTATATAATGTTTTACTCATATTCTTATATATGTCCACAGGGGCCTGGATGGAGTTATGAAACGGACCTTCCAGTGTGGGCAAACGTCGAATGGATGGAGCCGGAATAAACATGAATAATTATGAACCTATAACAACAACAGGGTGGACCATATGAGTCGATTGATCGATAAAAATGTTATTGAAAACTTCTATAAAACCACATTTATTTTTATTTTTTTGATCAACTGACTATATTTATTATATGATATTGCACCGGTCCCCCTCTGTATAATATATAAGTATTAATAAATAATAATTAAAATAAAATAATTACTATTATTCTTTATCGTGGATTTCGTAGTACTCGGAAGTAATTATAAAACATTTAAATTAAACAATGAGTACTCGCGGTTATTATTTTAATTTTTTTTTTTTTTTTTTTTTTTAATTGTAAATAATAACTGTCGCCTTACAAGAAAATCTTTACTCAATATTTGATAAAATGATAAACTATACATATTATTACAGTGGCGTGGCAAACTCAAATATTTTCAGAAACAAGTTTATTTTTCGATACTCACCCGTCAACCAACTATTAAAAAGTAGGTAACTAAAAAATATCTTTTTATGTGTTATTTTCCTAAATTCGTAAATATGAATTTAAATTATTTCCCGTTCATCAAGTGACACCCACTATCCTCAAAACAATTGAGAGGCGGCTGCCTCTCCATTACCCCCATCGCCACGTCACTACTATTATATATAGGTACGATATACCAACACGATATCATAACATAATATTTTTTGTACGATAATTGTATGAGTAATAATATACTTCATCGACGATTGTTATACTATCTTTTACGATCGTGTGTCATGTTTTTGTATATGTGTGTTTGCGTGTGTATGTGTGTATGAGTGTGTATTGTAGCGTGAGTGTGATTTTTCACCGACATTTGACATAAGAAAAAAAACTACAATAACTAGAAAACAGACTCGGAATTTTTGTGAGTTCTTAATATAATTCTTTATCGTAATTTTAGACTCTTCATTTTTTTTTCTTTCGAATACTTTATTAATTTTAAGATAAAAATATTATAATACTACAACTGATTGTTTATGAAAAAAAAGAAAAAAAACACTTCTTATTATCAATACTAATTAAGTCATTTATTATAAAAATATATAATTATACTATCCTACTATCGGGCTCTGTAACCGTTGTATTCGCTAAGACATTATGTTTTTGTGATTAGTTTTGTGTTGGTAGTTATGGTTTTATTATTGTTAGAGCTTATGTATCATTATTATTACTATTATTATTATTGTTAGTCAAATATAGACACTTATTACACTAGCATATACCTATAATAATGAATAATAATAATTATAATTTATAATTAATATCATTCTTAATATTATTATCATTATGTTTATTGTCATCATTATTATTATTATTATTATTATTATTATTATTATAATTATCATTATTATTATTAAGCATAGCGGTTGGCCTACACCGAGCAATAGCGCAGTGTTGTCCACATAAGGTGAACCGAAAAGCAGTTTTTTCGTAGTCATTTCCATGTAACACTTATATATGTGTCGTATTTAATATCTGTCGGATTGACCGACAGTCAGTGATTTCCATAATCCATAAATAGGATTAGTATTTGTTTTTATTTCAAACTATTGTAGTTATTATTTGTATAGTATGCTTAATAGAATATTAAACATTAAAAAAGAACAGCATTGTATTTCTGTTTTGTTTTTTTATTTCCTTATAATACATAATAATATACATGTGTGTTTGTTGTGTGACATTGTTATACGTCAACGTCATATACTATATTTATAAATACTATGCTTAGTATTTACACATTTTAATCAAAATTGTTTAAAAACACAATTTTATAAAAATTAAAATTAAAATATTGTACCTAATTATTATTAAAATAAATAATACGTTAAAGTTAGGATAAAAATGTTGCCATCAACCTTGAAACACGTTTATTTAACATTTTAACAAAAAAAAATAAAAGATTAATAAGAACAGCTTAATGAATTAAAACCCAGAGAAGTCTTCAAGCTGTGTAGTAGGTATAAGATATTTAGACTATAGAGTGAATTTTGTTATTGAGTAAGTTACTGTAAAAGAGAAGTTCATTTGGAATGCAATGATAAACGTTTTTATACGAAAATTGATTCTATATTTATATTTATATTAATATTAATATCGATAACACAATTTTATATTAGCAGAAAACTAGCTAAACAACAGCAAAATGCTTTAGTCCCTACGAATAATATCTTTTGTATTAAGAACAATCAAATAACTAAAATCATTGTTTTATTAAAATATCTAATTTTTTTTTAAATTTTAACTTTAAATGTTTATAAAAAAATTGTACCAATGTATATTATTTAATTACTATTAGTAGATATTTCTGATGATTAAATCTAAGTTTTAAATTTTTAATCTACATTTTTAGTTAAACCAAAAAAATCGTAAATTTTAAATTGCCTCAAATACTTTAAAATTAGCCAAAATATTTTTTAAATGACATTGTATAAAAAATTATTATTTCAATAACAATGAAATTTTTTAAGTTTGTACTTTATATTTTTTGAATAAAAACATAATAAAACGTATAATAATACGTTTGTTTATTTAATATGGTCAAAGCTTTAACTTAAGTTAGACACGAAAAAAATAATAAAACACGCCCATCATTGTAAAATCAATTAGTATCTACATTTATCATTCCGTTCAGAATTCAAAAAAGAAATAAAAATAAAAATTAAGAAGTTCACTTATACAAGACGTTTTTACTCATATTTATATTTGTGTATAGACGAGAAACGAGTTTAAAATAGCCACTGCATTGTGTTGTCTTAAACGTTCATAACTCATAATAATCATACGCTAAATAAAAATATAAAAATGTGAAATCACAATATTCAATAATAATTGGTTTCCGATATGATATCGCCAACATTTTAAATGAAAAATAAAATAATTGTTTATTTTTTTTTATTACAATAAAATTCGACTGTAAAAATCACAACCGTAAGTAATATTACCGATTACAATTCAAATTATTTTTTACTCAGAATAATAATAAGTACTATTTTAATTTAAATTGTTTATTATTTTTAAATACTAGTAAATATTTAGCTGTTTTTTCTAAAATTATAATAAGTAGGTACGGTTTGTGTTTACCGTATATAATAATAGGTATCTTCAATACTTATAAATATGGCGCAATCTTGAATTATATTAAAATTTAAAATAATTGATAATTAACGATATATATTGCTACATTATACATTAGTTATGTTATAAAAAGACCCTACTACAAAACATTTACTCAATAGTTCATATAATTTTCGATTTGAAAATTTATACCCATCAAATCTAATACTAAACGTACGTAAAAAGCATTGTAGTATAAAATATATATTTATAAACTATACAAGTTTTTTATAAGTATATACTATAATAATAATATACTATATCATAAATACTTAATAACGTGTAGTTTTGTTTATAAAAAACTAATAATATTGACTTTAAATTAATATAAATGTTGAATATTTAATTTCGTAGAAAACAATAAAACCAAAATGGCATTTATCTTAAGTTATTTAAAAAATATATTCTATGGTACACAACAGCTGCAGAACTGACGTACTGAATATATATATATACAAAAAAATATATATATACGTATACTGTATATTGGTATTGAATAAATAAATTTTATTTTTGTTTACTCGATATTGTAAAATAAATTTAAATTTAAATAGTATTATTTTTTGTCATATTGGATTATACCACATTGATTCATAAAAAAAAATGGAAATAATATATATGATGGGACAAAAAAAAAAACGAATATAATCATATTGTATACATAAAAAAGGTATAAGACGTATGGTTAAAAAAATACGGTTGAAAAATAAACTCTTTGCAAATATAGACTATCAAAGCATAATGTACAAAATCTTGGTTACACATAATTTCGACTAGACTTAGAATATGAAATTCGTAAGAATAAAAATAAACTCATTGTTCTGTTCTAAATTTTCGACTATCCCTTCTGCGCCGTTTCTTGCGAGCATAATTCAACGACGTCATCATCTTCCTCGTTGGCCGACAGCAGCCGTGATTGTTCGTCGTTTTTCACCTGGAAAAAACACGTGATCTCTTTTTGCCAAACTGGAATCTCTCTGGGGTGCACTGGATTTCCACCCGAGTATTTGTCTAAAACAAATAAAATAATAATACAATTTGTTCTAAAACAAGCAAAACCCTCGGTACCGACCACCATACGGCCGACCTATGGATTGTACGAAGTACGAATACTTTATATAACAATAATAATAACACGCCAAAAGCGTAAGAGTGCGATTACTTTTAGAAGTGGACGGTGACGACGACGATTTATGACCAGACGATGACGACACACTACAGCCACCAGCAACCGCCGCTTTACACGCAGCTATTTTAGGTATTCTCCCGGCGGAAACTTTAGGTGATAAAATGCATGGAAATAAAGAAAAATTTTGATTAAAAATACAATTATTCCGTAACATACAGTATCCTGCAAACATGTAGTATCCCGTAACATACATATTGTTTGCAAAAAGACTATGTTCGTTTAATGGGGCAACCCGTTTGCGAACTACTTATTATTTTTTCTAAACGGCCAACTGTTTTTCATGCCTATTGTATACAGACTAACAGCCTTTAGACTTTTAAAAAACTACAATTATTATAAAATTATAACCATTTTACTTATTTTGTTTTAAGAATAATTTATTACTCGTACAAAAAAGAGCAATAGAATTATTATAACATTTAAACTGAATTGGAGATACCTGTGATACTTATTATATAGTATTATGTTTATTTCATAAAATGTATCAATGGCAAGTATTAGTGAAGTTAAGATTATTTTAAAGTTTTTGACTATAGTTTTATTTTATATTGCTAACGAAAAAGAAAATCTGTAAAATATTAAATTAAATTGAAATATTACAAAAAATATTCCAGGTCCACGATCTACTTTTGAAATACTGACTAAAACATAACTTCCAACTTAAAAACTGTATTAATGGTGTATTTATAAAATCATATCAGCGTATACATTTTAAGTTCTAGGTATTTACCTCTATAATACATTACAACCGGCTATTTAAAAGATTTAGATACGGATTAACGACGTATACTTGATGAAATCTATAAGATTATAACTAATCAGTAAATTAAATTATAACTTTTAACTGTAGACATTATTGTTAATAAACAATACATACTTGCATTATCGTTAAAACGATCGAATTCATTTATATTTCATCGAGTACGTTAATATTTCCAAGTGTCATATTTTTTTAATCATGGAAAATTTGACAGTAGAGAACAAATTTAATAATGAAGTTATTGCTTATTATAAAAATAAAATTAAAGTAGTTATTTTTTACAATAGCAAAAAAATTGCACAAAGCATCGTATAATTAACAGAAGCCCTTATAAAGCATTATTTAGAAGTGAACCAAAATTAGGACTTTCTAGCAAAATTTACCTAATGACATCATCTTACAGTCAATTACAAGAAAAGAAGATTTTAATGAGTTAATTAATACCGAAGTAAGTAATGAAGGAAGTAGATATTCACGGAGAAGAAGATAGTGAAAATAAAACTAACGAAAATGATATATAATATATATGACTATTTAAAAGTGCAATTCTAAAATGTCTATCATAAACAATGTATCTTCGTGCGACATATATGTAAAATAAGAATAAATTCAAAAAGAAAAAATATAAGGACAGAAAAAACTGCAAAAATATTTATATACAAGCTAGCGATAAGCAATTAGTTATAATTAAAGTAAAAAGTTATGTTTTAGTCAGTATTCTAAAAGTAGATCATGGACCATTAGACTATTAGACACTTAAAATATTATTGATATAATTGTAGAAGAAAAAATAATTTTTACCAAATTGGTACGCAGTTTGACATTATAAACTTGTGGTTAAGCAGAAATAAATTACACAAAAATATAACAACTGATATACTGAGACATCTGAGACTCAATAATATCAATAATATCATTGAATATCATTGTATTGATTCCCGTGGAACTATATTAAGTTGCGAGCCATTATAGAAATATTTAATATTGTAGAACTACAACAAGATACAATATTATATAACTGAGTCAGTTGAGTTGTATTTTTGTATATATATTATTGTATTCATTATAAAATTTAAATATTTAGTGTCTATCTATTTATATTTATAGGATATGATGTAACTGGTGTTCGGCACAATGAATTTATCTGACGTATATAATATATATATATATATATATATAATGTCGTTAATTCCAAAAAACCATACTTAATATTATATTATTATATTGATATAAATATGCAATATTCATAGCATGTACATTGTACGGGCGCATGTAAATTCCACCGATTGCGACCTCTTAAGATCATTTTTCATGTAAATTCAACCGATTAGTTTTTAACTTAAAAAAAATGTTAAATCTACCGGTACAATTTTTTTACCTAAAAAAAAATGTAATTTTTTATTTTTATTTAGATATTTGGGATTCGCCTTTTTACATTTGTGATAAATTAATTAGTATTACAGTATAGGTATGATATAAAATTATTAAACACACAAAAACAATAGTAAGCAATAATAATAATAAGTTAGTTACAATAGATAATAGCCAATAGGTACATAATTTATGTACAGATTTCTTATTTATACATAATATAATATTTAGATATTTATATCATTCTTTTTACACAAATTAAAAATATATATATGATAATTAATAATGATCACTTAAGTTAGTTGAAAAAAAATTTAAATGAAATTAATAAACTCAGCGCAATAACAATTAAACAAGTAAGCAATAATAATAATAAAAATAATAAATTACAATAGATAATAGGTACGTAATTTATGTACAGATTTCTTATTTATACATAGGTAATATATTTAAAATTTAAATATTTATATCATTTTTTAAACAAATTTAAAAAATATGTAATAATTATTACTAGTTACTAGTTACTTATTTTACCATCGGTGGAGTTAATATGTTTTCAAGTCAAAAATACGTACCTAACCGGTAAAATTTACATTTTTTTTTCAGATAAAAAAACGTACCGGTGGAAATTTACATGTTTTAAATTCAATCCGAAAATTGACTATTTATAAATCGGTGGAATTTACAATCGCCACATTGTACATGTACATATATAATATATTATACGCCAATATTATCCATTCAGTTAAAAGAGAGTATACTGAACGGCAGACGAACACTCGTCGTGACGTCAATAAATCATTCCAACCACTACTATCACTACCTGTTCACACACCACGCCATCGAGCAACAATACATATTACAGTACATGACATACACACTACACAGCGACGACGGCGATTGTTACCGAAAGATTAATTAGGAGGTCCAGCAACGTAACGACAGTCAGTTAAAAAATGCGCAAACTGGTGTACCTACTCTTAAACTCAATGGATTATACCACCTAAATACAAGTGACATGTAAGAGGATGCTCCAGCGATCGGGTAATCATTAAAATCTTTTCCTGGACAACTAATCATTTTTTTTGAATAGCTAACGCATTGTATTTTAATTCAAGTTATTTTTAAAAGGATTCAATTTTATTTTTTATTAAATACTATTTCCAAATAATTTGAAAATTCTCGTGAAAAATATTATAATTTGATGATCATAATTTTGAAAACATTTTAAACATATTTTAGTACAAATTATTATTATTATTATTATTATTATTATTATTATTTCGTTTTTTTTTTACCACTGTCAACAAATATTTGAACTTTCCTACCCACTGTAACAAGAAATTGTGAAGTTCAAACTTTGACGACATTAGATAATCACATACTTAAAATAACAATTTTTTCAAAAGTTAATTTAAAAAATATTTTTCATAGAATCACGAAATATCCCACTTTCATTTTAATTATAATTTTCTATACACAATAACATTTTTGAAATATTTTAAGTTATTATTTGTTTTTTTTTTTTATATATTACATTATAAATGTTAAAAACAACTTTTATGCTAGGTCAGAAAGCTTGAAATTTAAACGAGATTTATAATTGGAAAATGTTCAGCTAAAAGTTGAGAAAGGCATTGCAACACATTGTTGAAATTGGAATCAATAGTTTATGACTTAAAAAACAAAAATTCAAGTTGCTTAAAATATACAAAAAATTTAATTTCACGATAAATTATCATTATAATTTTATGCCATTCATAAAATTGTTTAAGTAACGACTAACGACTGGGATATTATTTTCTCACTAAAATATAATTGTTTATACATTCTATCAATAAAAAATGCATTCAATGCTTACGTTTTATTTTTAGTTTTAATCAGACGCCATACTACAAATAAAACATCAAATTGGTTTTCAAAATCACAAACACTAATATTGTAACTGCACCGCATTTGAGAAAAAAATAATAGTTGAATCGTTATTATAAATTATGTCTGAGAAACATGATGCAGAAAAATGATTTTCCATTCGAATGGACTCCATTTTTATAGTTAGTAAATGATTTTGTATCGAAAGCATATTTTAAAATGATGCATTCGATTTTTCCAAGAACATTATAATATATTCATATTATGATATTATAATGGACCAAAAAAAATTGTAAATTTTATAAAATCCTTGTATACCGTGTACTTTAATACTTAATATATACACTACCGTATACTTGAACATGACATTAGATTAGGTATTGTAGTATTTATATGAATTCTTTTAGAAATATTTTTGGATATAATTTTTATATTAACTTCACGCACATTCTGTTTTTTTAATCTTACTAAATAGTATTTTTATTTTTATTTTATAAATTTGCAAACAATAACTTCATTGTAGACATCTCCTGGCTTTTAATTTGATTAAATATAATCAAAATAGTTGAAATTGTTTTTATTAACATTATCATTCAGTAATTTGTACAAACATTTTCCAAATTTAAAAATAGAAAGATATGAACTAAATGTAAATACTGCAGAACAACTATGTCTATATAGACTATAAACCAAGCTCTAACTCAATTCTCTGAAATATAAAATAATTAGAATGAAACAAAAATAAAAACAGATTAATACATATGTTATTTAAAAAAAGTATTTCATCATAATTATTCACATCAATTAGATAGGTACTTTTTTCAATTAATTAACTTAAAGTATAGTTTTATAAAGTTTTAAGTAATGAATAATTAAGAGATCTACAACTGTATTAGATAATTTAATATCTTTATTATTATAATAATTTATAGTTTTTCCTATTTTTTTTTTGTAGTTAAAAATTCACATAATTTTGAATTCTAACAAGTAAAGATTAAAAATGTAATACGTAATTTTATTCTTCAGAAGTTTTTCTTGTATTTTTCATAAAATGTCGAATAAAATGTCTAAAATATATAAGCATTGTTTTTTTCATAGGCTTTAGAATAAATTGTAATATTAGCAAAGTTGGATATTTATGATAAAAAAAGTTATAGGTAAATACTAATTTTTTTCTTTTAACAATTTTTGTTATTATATTATTGTTAATTAAATATTAATCACAGTGCTATTGACACTATTTGTTGTCATTTTGTAAATTAATATTTTTTATATTATCTTATATAATTTCAACATTTTTAGACAAATTTTAAACATATTTATACAACAAACCTATTCACACTATACTGTAGTATATCCATATACTAATTTACGTGCGCGGACAGAGCAATACATAGGGCTCTAAAATTGTTAGTAGGTACCCTCTGTAACTCCTACTACTTTAAATCAAAAAAATAAAAATACTTGTCAAAGCCAAATACGAAATGTAGTACCTACCTAGTAAACGTTAATTTTCTACCATTAAATATATTAAACTATAGCTATATTTCTTTTTAACACAAAGAAAATTGAACTCTTAATCATTACTAGCAATCAATCTTAATGTTTCAAAAGTAAAACAATCATCATTTAAACTTTGAAGACACTATTGCTAAATTAAAAAAACAAAAAAAAATCCGTCGGTATTGTAATTAACTTTGAAAAATTCGTTGTGATTTACGGATTAAACTTGTATTTGGTAATCAGCTACCTATACCTTAAATATATGGTTTTTTTTTTAATTGTTTCCTACATTTAATTTTTACCAATCATTTTTAGTTAAGCAGAAATAAATATTGCACAGTGCTATATATTAATTCTTTAGATCAAGCCACGTGTTAAGTATTTCCACAAATTTTTATAATATGATATTAGATATAATTAATTTTATCGTGTTAGAAACATAGTAATATATTATCTAAAATGTTCAAATAGTTCGTAAATTATAAAATATCCTTAGAAATAGATTGAAATGTCAATCTTGATTCAAAATCATTTTTTTGACTTAATGATTCGATTATTTATGAAGTGATTCAAATTTAACTCATCCATTACAATGGACCTACTAGTTAGTATTTAGCAAAGTAACTTGCCAGTTTTTTTTAGTACCTCAAAAAATAAATACATTTTTTTATAGAGTAGTTTCTTAAAAATCTTAAATGGTCATATGACTAATTTATGACAATATTTTATGAGTTGAATTGTTATATAAGATATTTAAATAATAATTTAGTATGTATAATATTATGTACCTACACATTATATTTAAAAGCTTTAGGAAGACGACGAAAAATTCAACAATCCAACTGCAATATCTTGGATATTTTAAGATCATTTAATTAAATTGAGAATCGTGTAGGTATTCGTATTTTACTCGCTATCGCACAATATTAGGTAGGAATTACCTAAATATTGTCAATTGAAAGGCAACTGATGTAAGAAATAAAAATAATATAAATGCCTAAACGTATAACAGTATATCAATGTAATAAGTAATAATTGATAGGTACTAGGTACCTACATAATTATACCAAAATAGAAAATTTAACATAAACTTTTGGGAATTCTGAAAAGTTTTTAAATTAATCTTAAGTTTTTGCTCAATTATATGACAAAATTAAATTATCCATACTTAATTGTATTGTTAAACAGCTTACATATTTCCCATACCAAATGTTTAATAAGCGATTCCATAAGAAAAGACTTGTCAAATGAATACAAAAAATATTTTTATCATGATTTATTCATCAAACGCACACGTAAAATATTATCTGATGTCATCTCCAAACGGTTGTACCTGACCAAGTAACCATTACTTCTAAGTTTAATTGTTTCGTGATATAGACGTTGTACTTGTACTGCGCAGTTTAGCATAATATTCTAACGAACAATTTTTATTGAATAAAATAGTAAAAAATATTGATAATTATTTACGGGTATCAAAAAAGTATCACGCTTAAAAACAGTACCTACCATGTTGAATAGGTATAATGTGTACACTATAATATAAATTTACAATTATAATATTATTATTTTGTTACGCCAAGCAAGTGCAATATATAGTTAAATTATACACGCGTCTTTATTTATTAAAATATCTGCAGGTTACTTACCCTTATAGCTCATCGATTGCTTGGTTCTGACCATGTTGAGACTTGAGAGACGGAGAAAAATATAAGGATCACTAATAAGATTGTAATAATTACCTATCGAATGTATAGTAGGCGTATAATTACGATTTAATACTGTTCATTAAATTATTGATAAACCGTCGAACGTCGGTCGAGTAACGAGTATGGTAGGTAGGTACTGTGCGTGTGGAACTGACGGCACGACATTAAATTACACATTAGTAAACCCGTGTCCCGTGCTGACGACATTGGTTTTAATCGGGATAAATTTAGTTAACGGCTGCTAACGATTTTCATTTAATACCGACATTATCAGATGTGAGTACGATATAGATTAACCGGGTAGTAAGTACCTGTACTACACAATTACACGACCAATATAGCTATAGGTATAATATGATATCATTGATATCATATAATTTTGGTATGTATGATATGAGTATACAACACAAAATAAAACTCTAGTCCAAAGTCCATTATCCAAGTACGACAACTATTTATTATATTACAAATTATTATTTTATACTTACTACTATTATATAATAATATATTGTCATGCACACGCACCTATTAACTATGTTGTCGTTATGGTTGCAGTTTTCTTAGACCTCACTAGATTTTTCATTTAACGAAATATTAAGGCAATTTAAAATTCTAAGACTTCAAAGTTAAAAAAGTATTTAAACAAACACATTTTCATAGAACCTACAAAAAAAATTATTAGTCTTCGCATTTATCAATATATATATATATATATATATACATACTAGGTACCCATTATTGATATCAAGCATTATTGCCTATCAATTTTTACGCGTAATTACGATACCTTACACAGAAAAACTACAGCTTCGCGTGACCCACAAAAAACTTACTGACGTCATGCACTTGAAAGGCTGGATAATGTTATATTATTTATTCAAATGGTACTCTTTTAGATATATTTGAATACTTAACCTAATTTCCAAACGACATAAACACGTTTGTAGTTTACACGTCTGTGTAAAATCAATATGATAATATAATATTATTTATTTTTGAGTATCAGTCGACTAACATAGTAGCATCAAGACTAATTTTAATAAAATATAGCTAAGCTTTAAATGAAAAAGGCGTGCATGATGCACTTTTTCGAACTATAATATTATTAACTAGTAAAACTAGTTAATAACCATTAAGACTAAGTTTTTGTCTAGATATTTAATTTTCGAGTCATCTTAATATCATAATTAATTAAAAAAAGGACTGAAATTTTTTTAGTTAATTTGAATAAATATGTTTGAATAAGTTAAAATAATTTTTCTTCACATTTATTGCACAGCAGTTAAAACTAAATAATTATCTAATTATATTTTTATTCAATCACTCTTTGTACACAATTAGTTAAAAATACAAATAATTAATTAGGTAATAATAAGAATAGGATGCACTTTTAACAAAATATTTAGTCACCTATTAAAAATAGATGTAATTTCACAATTATGTTATATGCATGTTACTCATGTGCAGGTAAAAAAAAAAATGATAATGAAAATAATTGACTTAATTTTGATTGAATGACGTCTATATTTTTCTATACATATTTATTATTCACTTTAACTTTTAAATATATTATTTGTTAGCTATTGACATACAACTTAATATTTGTATTAAGCTTATTACAACTTATTTTTTATATTATATTTAGATTATAGTTCAATTCTTATCATTAACACAACTTACTTATAGCCTGTAGGTGTCTACCTGATTCAAGTTAATTGTTTTCATTAACCTTTGTACATAACTATTGTCTATTAACCACTAACTACTCAATACTGTATATACTATTACATAATATTATCATGATTCGTGATTAATGGCGACATGTCAGTTTATAATTATTAATGGTTCACAGCTAACACAGAAAGGTATCAGCTAGTAGCTACCGTCAAAATCGTAATGTAAACAATACATTGTTCAAATATACGCATAGGATAGGTATATAATATATATATATTAGTATATTACGTATTGTATAGAAACCAGTTGAAATCGAGAACAAAATATTTAGTCCATTTTGGCATTTTCGTACTAGATATACTATGGGTGGGTGAACCGAATGCTAAATTTTTACTATACTTGTGTTTATGTTGAAAAAACAAATAAACGTAAATGCGTAATGAATAATAAATAATAATTCGTGACGAACCGTGTTGTACGCATTCTGATCGTTTGAAAAACCGCGCAATGTTAATTTTCGGAGCGCGCACAACGCCATTGGTCACATATGATGGCTATCTCCACGCCTATTGCGCTCTACACTATCGTCAACGATGAATAATTCATTGTTACGGTGAGCGGCACGATCCATACTGTTTACTCGTACCTTTATCAACAGTACTAACATGATAAATTGATAAATAACGTTTTGACTTTTGACATTCTTGTTACGAACTGCGTGTACTAATTAATTTGGTGTTCACTACAGTCGATATTTTATTTTATTTTTCATTGCTCGTTGAATAGTTTTATAAGTCCGATACCGTCGCAATCATTTGCCTCGTGTAGTCATTACGGAGATCGTTCGACGACGCTCGTGTGGTCTGTGAAACCGAAACGATCGCACGCCCCTGTGTACAGCAGACATTTTTAATCAACCGATAAACGCCGGCACAATGTGCGATTACAACGCAAAAGACTTGAGCGAGCCAGAGGACGGCAACATCAGAGACGATAACCCCGAGAACATTGACAAGTGTGCGTTAGATGAAATGAGTAATCAAGTGAGTGTTGTATAATAACCTCTTATTCTAACAGTAGATAATATTCATTTGACAATATTATTAAGTCATTATTTATTGACTATTGTTTGTATCATAATATTACTTTGTGTTCTAGTATATCTCACTATATATTTTTCTGATATTAAATCTCGTCAAGTATCTCCACTCAGGCGCTTAAAGTCTCAATGTTTAACATAGGCTGGAAGTAATTTGAGTGGACAACTAAACTATGATTAAGACGCTACCTATTTTTTTACATACTAAAATACAAAAATTGTTAATGGTAATTGATGTACATTTATATCTATCAAACATTTGCCACGTTTATTTATAGTATATGCTGCTATATCCAAAATCATCATAATATCTTTTATTTTCTCACAATAAAATGTTATGTATTAAAATAAAAAGAATTTATCATTTGAACAATACAGATAACAAAAGTTTACTTCTGATATTTTAATTTTATATTGGTACATTATGTATACATATTTGATATTTCACAATAATTATGAAAATAATTTAATACATTAACAATTTATGATACCGTCTCGCCATTATCAAATAATAACATATTACAATAATTATTATGTTGTAGGTATGTGTCAATGGATTTCAATTCACTGCTTATAATTTTTGTTTACAACTTTTGTTTACAAAATATCATATTTACCATATATTTATAATTTATATTATGACTACCTGCCATAATCTAAAAAAAGTTACATTACAATTTATTTATTTTCAAACTTCAAAACTTTTAAAATCAAATCAAATTCTTTATTGTTAAAAATATATATAAATCTCATTTTAATATACTTTTTTTGCTATTCATTAAATTCTATTAAATTCTTTATTTAAACCTGTGTTTTATATTTCTATTAATAATTTTTAGTAATGATTTAATAATTTATAACTTCTGATAAAACAATTATATATTTTAAACATTCATTGATATTACTTATGTACATTTAGATATAGAAATAACATTTTATATCTTAAAAGAAATAGAACAGGTTAAATTTTATAGTATGATCTTTGACAAGACAGATATTTAAAAAATATATCAAATGAGTTAACTTATTCATTATATTTATAATAAAAAAGTATATAACCATCAGTATTTATACAGAACATAAACTGTTGAAAAAATTGAAGAAGTTACTATTAAACAAAAAATAACTTATGAAACACTTTGTTCAACTGTAAATAATATAATGTTTGAACTTGGATTAAATATTAATAATTGTATAGGAATATACTAATAGTATCAACAACCAAAGGTGCAGTAAAAAAAGTTCAGGTTACTGCCAAAAAATGCACTGAAAACTAAATAGTCCATGCAATAACCATGCTTTAAACCATTTTTTTTTCAATTATTCATCAAGGGCCACATTAAAAAAAAAAATTACATATTATGATATAATACTTATAATTGTATTGCTATTATGAAACGGTTAGATTAGATTTTATTTATAAAGGAAAAAGAATTATATAATATTGAAAATTATATGAAAAATGTTATTGAACAAAAGTAAAACACAAAAATTAACCACCTTTGTGCGGGCCATCAAAAATTGCTTTGCGGGCCGCGGGTTGCCGACCCCTGCTTTAAACTTGTCATTGTCTAAATTTTCAACAGTTCAAAGTGTTTGTAACTATGTTGATACAATGAAAGAAATATTTAATTTTTAATATATCAGCAAAATATCATTACATAGAACATACTAAAAAATACACTTAAAGACCGCAATCATCTTATCAATAATTGTGATACTCGTTGGGCCGAAAAACATAATTGTATTTTATTGATTCAAAAATGTTTACCTTAATATATTATAAAACCATTGATAAATATACTAGAATGGAAGATATGACATATATAATTATGTATATTTTATTATTTTATTTTAAATAGATTAAGTAGCTTAGTATTATTAGAATCATAATGTTATATCCTAAATAAAAAGCAAATAATATAATATAAAATTGTACTAGGTAGGCTAGTAATAAATTTCATTATTGTGGCTTGGCGCGATGCGTTGGCTGCTACCAGTCGCAGAATGCGACTGAGAGTAAGTAACGACCACAGCTACTAGTTCCCGGATGGGTGACCACTCAGGATCATAGTGGTTAAAAACCTTGCCACACATACACGTGTTTGCTATCAACCGTAACAATCGTAAAATACAACCTATTGTACCAACCTTACCCCTTACCATAGTTCATAACCCCTACAAACAGCTAATGGCCCTAGTTGCCGGGCTTAAGTTCAATTAAAAAAAAAAATTTCATTACAAACAATTTTTACCAAGTAAAAATTTTCCTCAACATTTTTTATTATTTCTTATAAACTAAACATGCTTAATTTTTTTTCAAGTAATCTATAAACAATAAGTAATTCAATGTGTTGACAATTTTTTAGCATGATAGCACAACTCATTATTTATATTTTCTTTTTTTTTTTTGTCATACGTACATCTTTATTCAATATACGTAATTTTTTTTTACAGAAAAATTACAATTATATATTTGGTACCTATGCTTGAGCTTGACTGATTATTTATTTATATTTTATTTCAGATTCAAATTGTTCTTCAAGATATGAAAGATAAATTCCAAACTATGTCTGATCAAATATTGTTAAGAAATATCCTTTTTTTACTACGACTTTATAAAGAACTATATTGCTTAATTTTAATTTAGAGTTAACCTTTATAAAAATATTATGTTAAATTTTCTTTAACTGATAAATACTAGATGATATGGGTACGCGTATCGATGACTTGGAGAAGAATATATCTGACTTAATGGTCCACGCTGGTCTTGAAACTCCAGATAAATGATATTTAGAATACTATCGTATTACAAGAAATGAATAGGTCACTCTATGTTACAAGATTATATATTTATGTATATGTAAATTTACGACCTACGTAATTATTTGAAATATGATTAAAATTAAAACAAGGTAAACCTAAATAGATGATTGTTTATAAGTATCTCTAAGTATTATAATATATTATGTGTATTCTGTTTTTTTATGAACTATTATCAGCAGTTTTCTGCGATATTAATTAAGTTAAATAATAGATCTATATTCTATACCAATTTTTTACCTATACTTTATTCAGTGTATAAATGACTAGTCCAACAGATGAAATATATTGAAACTGCGTATTTATCCTCAATACTAGTACCACCTATACTACTCACTTGGGGCCTTCATTGGTCATCAAAAATAATCGATTGGCATTGGATAATCGTTGGTGGGGAGAAGGGTGTTGAGTACATTAGATATGCTTAATAAGCTATTTTTAAATTGAATAGATTACAGTACTTTATATGCTCTTTACATTTGTCATATTTATTTAACTTAAAATGACCAATTTTAAATACATTAAAGTTAAAAATAGCTCAAACCTGCAAACTTGTATTTTCAAGAAATTTTCAACTATCAATAAATATTACTTGTAGCTTATAATATTATATTAAATATAATGTACTTTTTACATGAATTAATAATTTATTCAAATTTAAAGCTTAATTTTTTTTTTTTTTCATACAAAGTCTGTTATACGCTTATTGTAAACATATATACTATAGCATAATTATTAATCATTAAAAGAAATAGTGAAACAATTAAATACCATCTACCTATATGTATTGGACAACTAATAATTTTTGCTTTTTTCTAAAACATATTTATTACCCATTTTACTGTTAAAACTAGTAATGTAACAATACATTTTTAAACATTTAAATTCTCTATGAAATTTACTTGAGATTAACCATAGTATTTTTTTTAAATTTTGTATTACATTTGTTACTGCTAAAAAATTCTTCAATATTTTTTCAATTTTAGAAGTGTAAGATTTGAGTTGAAATTAAAAAGTTATATTATTTTTGTTGAGTTAACTCCATAATGATTTTAGTTAAATTTTAAGAATTTTTATCAGTACTATAAACAAAAAATAAAAAATTTTAAAACAATAGTAAGTACTTAATCTTTGTAAAGTTTTCAAATGATATGAAAATTTAATCTTCAACACTGTACAATAACTAAGGATAATTTGAAAATTTTTAAAAGTAATTGGTATAGTTTTACTAATTAAAATAAGTCCCTATTAAACAAATACAGTGAGAATTTTTGATAACTATATTTACAACATATGTGGTTAAATCCAATACATAGGTATTTTAGTATAAGTAAATTAGCTAAAACAATTAATTTTTTTTTATAAATAATCTCTGCTTATATTTCTATTATTAGTGTTAACAAAATTATTTAATATTCAACAGTCATTATTTGAATAAACTATACGTAAAAATTAGAAAATTTGCACTTATTTTATTTGTAAAAATATGTCATGAAAGGTTTTACTAGATAAGTATTGTAAAAAAACTATAATTTCTATATTGTTTAATTTACATTATAGTTAATTATATGAGTAGTTAAAATTACACAATTTTATTTTGTATGCAAATAGTGTAGTTAAATATAATATTACAAAATGGAAGTTTTATGTTTTTAATGTAGTTTATAAAAAATAAATATTACTTTCAATTAAATTTTAAATGTATTATTAGTTTTAAAGAATCCTATAAGACAGAGTCTATAATATTTAGCTTTGTCATTTTCTTTATATATCTATATTATATGTATTTGTTACAATTGATTACAATTATATCTAACATATTAAATGTGAGCTTCGTCACATATTGATGAATACTTTCTACACGTTCTTATTTCATTTGTTATGACTTTTATATTTAAATGGAATACAAATGATACAATATTGATAATTTTATATTAGATATCATGGCTGGTATATAATTAATATGAATGACATTTTATACTAAAATAATTGTCAAATTTATTAAATAATTCACATAGTTCTAAAAAATGTCTTTCATTAGAAATTTTTGTTTTTCATTGCAACTTATAAAAGCTAATCCTTGTCTGGCTAAGTATAAAATAAAATATTTTATATATATATATATATAGCTGATTATAATGAGTATATTTTTTTATCCGATACAATGACTTTTGCAGTTTTGGAGTTAGAATATTTTTCTATCACTTAGTTTTTTCCAATTATTAAAACCATTTTTTTTTTTTTTTTTAATTTTTCTCAATGTATTTAAAAGTTATCAAATTATTTACATACAAAACAATTTATAGTCTTGGTGTAAAAATGAACGATTTTGTTAGGAGTGGCGGATACATAAAGGGGTCCCCCTTGGACTGTGTTTATATGTTATTTTTACATTATAATATTGGGCTGAGACTGCTGAGAGCCGATATTTTTATTTCATATCACTAATAATCACACAGAGCATTGTTTATGATAAAGGATGATAATTTACAGAAATTGCATATTATTTCCCGTGTCTTCTATTTATAACTGGGTGAGGTAAAAATTTGTTCTACGACCTTGTGAGTTCATATTTCTGTTTTTTTTGTTTTTTTTTCGTACATATTTTGCCAATTTTATCTTTTGTAACTTCTCATTTCTAAACCCTAGTTGATAGTTATGATTCTTCTTTGCCATACTTTTAAAATCGTGCACCATGATGTTATTATCAGCTTATTACCACCATAGGCCTTATAGTATTAGGTTCACAGATGTCTATATTATAATATAGACATCTGTGATTGGGTCTATGATCGCCACCGTCGTTGTTTTGAATTTTCGTCTATTTATCACAAACTAAGTTCTGGCCGTTATGCATATTATACCGATTGTACTATTTTTATTAATTTTCATTGCGATTATACTTTTTAATTATTGATTAATAACAAATGCAACACACCATTACCATTACTTGTTGCTTTTTGATTTATTTTCTCAATTTCTCATAATTTAAATGAAATGTAAAGTAAGATTTGGTCCAATTGACACGTTTAAAAAAAAAAAAAAAAGATCAAATGTTTGAAATACACCAAATTAGTTGTGAGTAGGTACAACAAATCTTAAAATATATTTATTAACCATGTACCTATTTAAAAACATATTTATATCGTAATTATTCCTGTATAGGAAATGATTTCATTATTGATGTCAATATTAATCTAATAACACAAAGTAGGTACTAAAGATAATACTTTACTACTTAAGAACATAAATTATAAATTATTTATTTTTGATATATATCATAATCAGTGTGTAGTGTTAAAAAACAATATTTTCGAATGTCCAAGTACTTAGTACCTACTTGTATTTACTATTTTTAACATTATATTTTGTTCACTTTTGTAAACAAATTGAACATTGGTAATATTGATAAGATTGATGAAATAAATGATTTTACAAAATACTCCATTTTCAAATATTATGATTTTCTTAAAGATTTTACTTATCCATTTTTTCCACATTCTAAATAAGGCAAACAAGAAAAACGTTTTTTAAGACCAAATAATTTTGAAAAATATTCTTAGCTCGAGTAGGTACTCAAATATAGTCTAGATTATTTTGTAAATACTGTGTAATATATTTAGTGTCAACATAGGGTGGTAGAAAAACATAATAACAATAATTTGTATCAAAAAAATTGTATACAATTTGCTATTGATTTTCAAAAAACTTGTTTAAATCTTGAAACTGTTATGGTGAATATTTTAGTTTCACAAAGAATAAAATAAATAAAAGAAAATTGGGAGTTTTTTAAACTTGTAGTAAAAATAGTTATATTTTTAGGGAGACAAAATATTGTGTTTAAAAGACAGAGATGACAGCAATATTATGACAGAATCCATTGTGAATGAATGCCATTTTAGTGAGATGTTATGATCCAGAATACAAAAAGCTAGTAATACTAAACTAGAAAATCACTTTAAATTCATAAGTTTTAAAGTTACACGAATGGTTTTACTTACTTAATAAGTATCGTGAAAAAAATATAATTTTTATTTTGTTCAATTTAAATTATAATTTATTATAAAAGTAGTTTAAATTACATAATTTTATTTTCTATACAAATAGTAAAATGCTATAAAAATGAAACAAAGTGTATTCAAAGTTAATTGAGTAAAGTGTCTTATTTACTAATTTTACCTTATAGTAAAACCTTGAACCTCAGATTTTACATTTTCTGGGAAAGAAATTCTCTGGTGCAAAATGTTTGCTACAAACTTTTCGAATTCTAGCTATGGGTGATTCAAGTTTAAGTTTTTCAATTAATTTTTCTTTTCGAATCTGCGGAGAATCTTAAGTTGGAAAAAAAATTTTATAGCTAAGTACTAATAAGATAAATAAACGTATAAACAGGATATTTATGCTAGTTAAAAAAATGTAGGGTAGCCAGGCCTGGATTAAGATCTACTGTGCCGTAGGCTATAAAAAGTTTGGTGCCTCTATTTTACTAACCCTTTGGCCTTTGTAAATATATATTGTATACATTTTGTTTAACTTTTTATTTAATAATCCATCATTACTCTACTTAATACTTGAATGAGTAATAAAATAATATTTTGGGTTTATTGAACATATGAATATACTCATATGCCATATTTGTTCAAACAAGTAAAAACATAAAATTAAGTGATATATCCATATACCACGAATGTGATGTATGAATTAGCTAGAGATAGTGGCGTCAAACCTATACATGAACTGAAGTGACCGCTTTATAAATAAAAAGGGTGGATGGTTTTATTTGTATATGTGTTTTTGTTTTTACATTACATAATACCTATAATACTAAATGACTTAAGTTATTAGTTATTACCTATTAGAGGTATACAACATCCTCAGTGGCCAATGGGTGGGTGTATAAATATTTTGATTTTGCTTCACTTAAATTTATAAGACTCGGCGCCACTGGCTAAAAGATGTGAATTTATACGTTATGCAGTATGCACTGGTATAAACCTGTATTATATAAGGTATTAAATAAATGGTTCAAAATTATTTTGTATAGACGATATAAAAAAAAAATTAAGGCATTATTTTTAGTTATTATTACCATAAATAATATTTTTATTATTTATAATTGTAACATGTTTATTTAGCATTCGTGTGTTAGAAATGACTTAAATCAATTGTATTATTATTATATTGTAAATATATGTACAATGAGATGGTATATAAGTATTAATTATGGTTTTCGATATATATTTTTATTTAAAAATTTAACATAAAAAACAGATACCCTAATACCTTTGTTTATTTAAACAACTTTTTAAAGATAAAATAAATTTTTACTCAATTTTTCATACAAATTCTAAGTATTTAGTACTTACAAGAATTAAAAAATGTGGAACCAAAAATTCAGTAGAAATATTTGTATGCTAATTGGAAGATAATAAGGTTACTCAAATCCTAATTTATTTTGAAATTTATATAATTTCTAGTAACGAGGTGTATGAAATTATGGTACATGGTGCATCATAATTAGTAGCATGACTAAATATTAATTTGGTCTAAAATAATTCTTGTACATATATATATTTTTAATATTTTCTGACCTTTAACCATTTTTCAATTAATTAATTTTAAAATTATTCTTATTTCATGATTAACTACGGTTTTATAAGCTGTATAAAATTTCTGATAATTTAAGATACATAGAGGTTCTATATGTGGTATAATACGGTATTATACAAAAAATTAAAATAAAATACTGTATTTTGACATTTCTAGATATAGCGATAGATGACTAACCAATATGCTACATGCATGCTCATATTAATATGAGCTTCGTATAATATTGAATCATTAATATAATATATAATCAATAAAATTTGTACAGTTTTTTTCTCATTTTTTTCTTGCTAGTCGTTAAACAAATTAACACTATCTTGGAAATTTGTTGAATTTTTGGTTATAAAAGACACTAAACGTATCAATGAAGTTATAGTATAAGAAGAATCATATTTTATTTCAGTATTAACTGACTAGCTGTATATAATAAAAATATTTGGTGAACCTACTGGACACCTATACTGTATAATTTAGCTGTAATTCTGTACCAATTGCCCGTCTTTTTATAATGATTCATAGTAATGGTTCTGTTTCTTTAGTATATAAACTATTGTAATTTTGAATTATTTAATATTAGTTAAAAGAAATTATTTCATTTTATTATACCGCTATATCAAAGACTTTCCATTCGCACAAAAAAATAAAAATAAAAATATATCAACTTAGAAATCATTGTATACTATAGGTATAAATATACTTAATAAAAGGGGCAATTAACTCATTTATGCCATTATTGATAACAATTTGTAGAAACAACAAAAATAGATTATGTCTATATTATGGTAAGGCAAGAAAAAGAATATTTAAATATTTTATGTTATTGATTTAAACATCCAAATACATATTTATAATTACAAAATGACACCCGGTTACCAAAATGCATTAGAAAAAAAAATTGGATTCCAAATGTAAATCAAAAAGCCTAAAATGACTAAATTATCTTTTTAGAGTTTCTCAATTTCAAATAAGTTTGCATTTTCTTAATTTTTCATGATATAATCTCCTAATCCTAACAAGATTTTGTTATTCAAAAATAGAGAATCTTTAACCAACTGAATAAAATGTAATAAGTAATAAAATCTAAATAATATTCATTTTCATCCAACAAATAACAGGTTAACAATCCCAAAACAATAATATTTTATTATCATGTTTCCAATTAATTGCTTTTTTAAATTATAATGGTAATAGTAATATAAAATTTTATAATATACAGATTCATTTTTTATGGCTTTAAAAAAATCATGAAAACCCAACATTAATTATTATAATGAAATTATTCGGTTATTTGGGCATAATAGTATCAAAAAAATTTGAATATAAGTTAAAATATAATATACAAAATATGTAGCATAGACTTGTTTAGTAATCAAAAATTTTTTTTATATTTTTATCATTATAATTTCTCTTTACTAATTTATTCAATGATTATACACATAATTAAATATAGCAGTAATAAAAATAATAAGGGAAGATAAAAAAATAATAATACAGATTTTAAAATAATGGTATTTGTTTTAGTGTAATATGTAATTATATAATATTTTAAAACAATTATTATTCAATATATAATGAAGTACAACATAAATTTTAATGGAACGTAGTTTATAGTTTATCTCGCTCAGCATTTTAAGATGTTATTATATTTATTGCAATAACTTCGCTCATAATAAAAACAATTATCACAATATATACATACATAGTACATAAGAGATTCTAAATGCAATTAGCCTACAGTTATATCACATAACATCATTTTATAAAGCAGTCCGTTCATCGTAAACAATAACTGCTTCATTGTCAACCAATATATCTGTGTCTTTGTTATTGAGGAACTGGCTTCTGGATTTACTCATGGCGATTATGGCAGCTTCATCATTTCTCATACGATTTTTCCTTTTTTTACTGAAATTTACCTAAAAAATAATTAATAAATATAATTATGTAATAAATTAAGCATATTTCTTAAAAAAAACCTTTTTTTATCAATGTCAAGTTACCACCAATGTCCTGAATTGTAACAATGTTATAAAATTTTATTATCATTATAAATTAGTAATAATAAAACAGCATTGTAAACAGTTGAGAGTTGAGATCAATAAATGATGACAATCATTTTAAAGTGTGTTCTGCATAACTTAAGAATGTGATAGGATAATTTTAAAGGTTTTGTTAGGTATAAAAAGAATATAGAAAATCATTTTTTTTTTTTTTTTAATTATATTTGGAATAAAAACTTTACGTAAATAATATTCACTGAAGTCTTCAAGAAAACAGGCCAGTAAGCACCATGACTCTGGTCACATACCCAGCCTGTTTCCATGGGTTTTCAAATTAATCCAATTATGGCAGTGCAAACATGGCAATTATTTTTATTATTATGAAAACCAATGACTCTTAATGGCCACTGGGTTCTTAACAGTCTCAGTTCAGTTTTAGTGACAAGGATTGTAGTATACTATGACTATAAAATATTAGTTTCACTTTGAATATGAAAAATATAAATAATATCCTAAACTATTTTTAGGATTATTGATTTTTCAATAAATAATTGTAAAATTGAGGTTGAGTTAATGTTAGACAATGTTGTTCTATGAAATATAAATGTTTTTCTAAGAATTCCATAGTAGTTTAAGAGGACGCCACACCACCCGTAATTTGATTAGAAAAATTGCTGCGTTATAATATAGTTATATACTACTTTTCCTATATTAACTGCACTTTCTTTCATAAAAGTTAAATTACCTTAGCATAAAGCTCTGATAAATTGTCAGATGTTGAAAATGGTCGTTTTTTGTTTCTCACATGTGTTGGAAGACTTCTTGTTCGCAGTGTTATAGATTTTCCATCACATGTATGGCAGTTGTCCAAAACTAAAAAGATTCATTAAAATAACATTCATTTAAGATTGTTTATAAAAATAATAACTAGTCTATTTTACATTCTACTTCAATCTAAGGATAATACATTTGAAGGATTTAACTACTTAAAAGTGTTCTCATCCTAATACACTTAGAACAATAATAATAATCACATTTTATGAAATGTAAAATAAGTGATAACACCCTGGATGAGCAAAAAGTTGTAAATAGAAAAATAATAAAATAATTTTACAAGCAATCGAAACATTTAAAAAAATCAAACAAAATAATAGACAAGAAAACTATTATTTAATTTTTACATAATAAATTAATAAATTAAACTAATTCCTAAGTGTTTTACAAATAATATAAAAGAATTTAAAAAAAGGTTTATAATATATTATTATATTCACTTCAAAATATTTAACTCAATATTAAAATTAATAAAACTTAACACTGAATTGCTAAGTATAAATTTTATATATTACACACTTCGAAATAGGATATTATATTACTTAAGGGTGAATATTATTTTCATTTTTATTCAAATGGAATATGAAATAGAACATAGAAAAGGCGTATTTTTAAACTATATAACTTTATTTTTTTTATTTATAGTAATTAAAAAATATTTTATTTGCAAATAGCAAGCATACTACTCACTGCTACTGGAAGTAAATTGATGAGGATTAAATTCAGAGATCTGAGGTAAAGCGTTTGGCAAATGGCAAGAGTCATTTTGGGTCTCATTGTCAATATAATGCAAATTAGGCACGTCAAATGTTTCATTACTAATATATTCTTTTATTTCACGTATACAAGGATCCTGAAATAAAAAAAATTATTAATATTTTTACAATTAATAAATCCATCAATGTAACATACAAATGACTGGAGTTGTTTTGCTGGTGGTACAGAAGCTGAACGTGGTACTGTATTTGTACTTACAGATTCCTCTCCTTGATCATTGAAAAACCAATGATCAGGAGAACCTTCTCTTTCAGGAAATAACTCAACGATACGGTTACTATATATAAAATTCCCAGTTTTAGGGTCCAGGAATACTGTGGAGTAACTGGAAAATACAAAATTTTATTAGTTAAAATTACTTTTATTATTATTAACAATAAATTATTTATATAACTAAATTAAAATTATTTTGCCATCGATTACAATTATAGTAAATATATTATAATACAAATGTAAATTTAAAATAACATATATTTTTAAATAACTCTGTTTAAAAATTCTTTAATAAATTAAAGGAAAAATTAAGGTTAAAATTTGAATAAATATTGTCAACAATAACAAGTAAACACTATGAAAAAATTAATGATGTTTTCAAAAATTTTTATCCATACAAAAGACAAAAAGTAGTAATGTTTATGTTAATAAAAAAACCACTGGTACCCATCTTCATTTTCAAATTATAATTAATGTAATAATTTCATTAGAAAAATGTTTACAAGCAAATATGATCTACATATTTTTCAGTTATATGATACTAAAAATCCTTAAAAATAAATCTCTGCTAGACAAATAGGTATCAAGTTAATAAGTATAAGTATTGGATTTAAAATTATTATTATCGACAATGTTTTGTTCTAAACAATTTCTGCTGTACTTATTTCTTACATAATGGTTAACTACATAAATGTATTGCGTAATAACTATGCTTCTATTGTTAGTATAAACAAAACTGTACAAGTCATGATTTGAATCTACTATAATTTATAATCTATAGTAAACACTTTATTAATTTGAAAAAAATGGCATAAAAGACCAAAGTAGGATAAAAAATAAATATATAATTATTATAATTTTAAATAAACATATTACTATTTAGCATCGATTTATACAAATTGTATTCTTTTTTACACCTATCAAAATTATATATGCAAATATTACCGTATATATTTTTTTCTACTAAATCCTAAATAATATTATAATTTATAATACAAAAAAAGATAAATTATTTACAACTCTTTTTAAAAACGGTTGACTCATTTAAAGTATTTTGATTTACTTAAGTTTTATATATTTTAGAGGTTTAAAAATCATAATGAAATTATAGTCACAGTCGGCCATTATTATAAATCCCTAATTTTATGTGAAGCTAAAAATCTTAACATAATGAAAAATAATGAGCCAAATTTAAGTTTTATAATTCATAAAATAAACCATCAAACTATTGTAGCATTAAAAACTATCAAGTTAAATAAATTATTGATAACTTAGGACTATAATATAATTTTTTAAAACATTTTAAAACTACCTAGGTATGTTAGTATTACTTCTTTGTTCTTCTTCCTCACAACTGCTATGTACTAAAAAAAAATTAATTAGAAATTATTAAAAGGTATAATATAAATAGACTAAACAAAAAGCTTACCATTTTTTTTTTTACAAAAACAACAATACCAAATTATAAATACAATTGTTATTGAAGTAAGTACTATAATGACAATAGCACATAATATAACAATTGACAGTTGATCTTTGTCTAGTTGCCATCCAAAAACATCCAAGGTCCAATCAAAACCCCCGGAAATATCCTGCAGAACAAAAAAAAATATTAATTTTACAAAATGTGTTATTATTTATATTGTTCAAAATAATATCATGTTAAAAGTCTTATAAATACCTATTTTATTCAAAATAGGTTTTATTGGATTAAAATTATTTACATAAATAATAATGGGATATGTTCTTTAGTTCATTAAATAATGCTTAAACAATTTAAATTGATTTTTATTATATATAATATAAATATTATATATTGATATAAATGGTCAAAAAATATAAACAAAATATATTGTATGATTAATATTATTAATATATATATATATATATATATCAAATAATTAGATAAAACATACTGGAGGCCACATTTTTGCTGTCAATGTAGTAGATTGTTGAAATACAGTCCCGCGTGTGTTTTCTTCAGACTTTGGCTGTATGTAAAGATCATCTGGAAATAAAATATAAATTTTTAAGAACTAGTAATGTAATAGGCTATACAATAACACACTTTAAATAACTGATATCATTAGAATAAAATATATTTTAATACAATATAATATGATACTATATTATGATTTATAAATGTTTCTGACATTAAATTTTAAATGAAAAATAGTTTAAAGGACATCAGTTTATAGAAATGCTAGTCAAAGCAGAGCTCAAATAAAAAAATACAAATTAAAAAATATTAAAAACATAGTTTAAGATTTATAATAACAATTATTATTTAATATTGTAAATATATTTTAAATATAATAGGTACGTTTTAAAATTTGTAATCTCATATTAATTTAAGCAAAATATGAATCGTCTTAATTGTAATTTATAAAATACACCTAATTCAACATTTTAAATTTATTTTTTAAGTACTTTAATAATATGCTAATTATTCAATGTTAATAACTATACATATTTAGTAAAAAAAATTAAAATATAAATAAATTAAAACCATTTATATAGTAAGTAGTAAATATTATGTAATTTAGTAATAAGTATTAGCCTATGAAAAATTATTAAAAGTATAATTTCTGTAGGATTTTTTTCACAAAAAGTTATAAATATAAAAGGCAAATATTTTTGATAGTTCACTTCTTCAGATAAGTATACAATTTCACACTTAAAAAAAATGGTATTTTTTTGTAAATTTGAGAGATTTCAGAGTCTAAAATTACATTTATAACAATATTAAATTTTTTTTTTTTTTACTTAAAGTATAAAGAACAAAGAAATTTTAAATAAATAAATAAATTGAAAGTTAATTCATAAGAAAAAAAAATTTAATGTAAAACTTAAAGTGTGCTCATTATAATTAAAATCTAATAAATATATTTGTTTTAAAAATGTATTAATTATCTTAAATCTCAGGCAACATTAATATGACACTTATAATACTGTTTATGGAGTTAATTAATGTTATCATTTCAGTAAATTACACACTTAAATTGTTTACTCATTTTAAAGATACTAAATTTAACACTAAAAAGTCAATAAAAACATTACCAACTGAATATCTATGTAAGATAATAAAACTAAACTTCAAGAGCAGATATAAATATTATAGAGCAACAGCACATGCACGATTACACTTTACTATAGAATATTAAATTTGTATTATTGATGAAATAGAATAAATTTAAATTGTAAATCTTTAAAAAGCATAAAATTTATAGCTAATAAATTTCTTTTTGTGAGAAATTGATTTACAATTTTTAAGTTTAACACATCTCAATATATATTTTGATGTGCATAGATTTTCAAATAAAAATATATAATTATTAATTTTTTAATTAAAATTATCTTAAAAAATTTTATTTATAGTTAATACAACACATTATGCTAATCTTATTTTAAATGAAATCAATAAATATTAATTTTTAAAATTTTTTTTGCCATTAAATATGTATCTATCTAGGAAATATAAGTGTATGGAATTTACAAAAATGTAATTTAAAGATTTAGGAATTAAGTGTACTGTGATTTGCAGAAACTAAATATTGTGTGAATGGTTAAAAAGTACCATCAATTATATTTTTAATCAAAGCATGAAAATATTGTATAATGAAAATTCATAATGCATAAATTAGTTTCAAGTTTTCTTTTAAAACAAAAGCTTTCTGTCTGAACAGTAAAAAAAACGATAAATTATTCAAATAATTTAATAATAGTTAAATGTTTAAGTACTCTATTTTTATAAATTATGTCCATATTAATTTCAAATATTAAAGAATAAAATAAGACATAATAGCTAAGTACCATGGTATAACTTATTAATTACGAAATAAAATGATAAATGGATAATTGAGTTAAATCAATTTTTAACTTTTCAAACCATAATAATGTATGTACCTATCCATGTAAGTTATAAACTTACAGAAACTTTCTGTTTAAACTAAAGCAAATAAAAACCTGTTTTACAAATCTCACTTCATGACATTTTTAAACCAGTTGGACAACAAGTGTTGTTTATCATACACTTGTAATTTATCAACATACTTTGATTATATCATTAGTATAGATAATAATATTGTACCAATAATAAAACACTTATTTTTACTTTAGAACCAAACAGAATTGGGTGTTGATAAACAATATAACAATTATATGGATAATTATAACAAAATAATGAATATCATAATGTCCATAGTGAGACAAAAATTAAAGTGACTTGAAAACTTATCGATTGGTAATAAATTGTTAAAAACTTACAAGGCATGCAATAATATTATATTGTTGTAAACCACTGAATACCTACCAATTGATACAAATCATGATATTTCTAAGGTCTGTAACGATGACAATGATGATATTACATGTCCATGATTCGCAGACAATAAACAAATAACAAATAATAATATTTTTACCGAGACGTACAGACAGGTTAGGTCAACTAGAAGAAAAACGTCATGAAGACCAACGGTACCCGAGAACTACATTTGCCAAGTACGCACTCGCTCGGGCCTACGGAACCAACGTAGGTAACGTCTTCGCTACAGGACAAGAGGCGTCCGCGCAATAGAACAACATCACATCATTATAATCGCTCGTACCTTCTCAGTTGGTGGTGGAGTCCGGACGTCACGATCCGTAGAGTCCGCCACGGTGACCGACGGCTAAGGCGCACCTGCACCGGGTGGTTGTTACCTACCCAAAGTGATGTCGCGGTGCAATAATTACGGGCGGCGCGAACTGTTGCGCCGCGCAAAAACCGAGTGAGTCGCGTACAGAACACGTCTCAGCCAGAGACACAATACCGCCGACGATCGTCGCAACAGTTGACGACACTTGACGAGACCGATTTTAACATTTCAAAACAGTATTCGTGCGATTGCGTTCGTAAAGTGGTCGCCCGATGTGTCATGAAACGTGTTTGTATGTGTGTGTGTTTGTGTGTGTGTTTGTGTGTGCGCGCGTTATCAGTAGATAGTGTTTTTGTTGATTTCCGCGTTGAAAACGATAACATCGCGGTATAGTAGTGACTGTGATGAAAATAATAATAATAATATTATATGGCGAAGGTCACGTCTCGTGCACCGTGTGTTATAATCATCGTCGGCGGCGACTGTATTCGTGCGCGTGCGCGACGCCGTTTTCGTAGTAAATCATAATAGGTACATATTATAAAAAGTATATATTTTATACGTCATATAATTATGTATTTGTGTATTTGTACTTTTATCAAACGTACTTGTTGTTCTTTGGAGTAGATTAAAAATGTTTATTTAAAAAAAAAAACAAACAACAATGTCGATGCCAATTCAACTGAGTTATTATACATACCTATATAATATGGAATACGTTACCTACCTATTTAATTAAGACGGGCACTTTTTTTCTATTCAACTTGTAACTGCTGCCTGCTACAAGTTAAAAAAATGACTTTCAACTTTACTTAATAAATTGAAAATTTACCCACGGTCCCTAAACAAATACCTAATAAAGTCTATTATATATTAATATAAATATTAAATCTCTTATTGTCGAATAGGTATTTTGAAATTTATTTCTGGCGTTAGGTTCCGAGTCCAATGCGCTCATATAAAAAAGTTTACTTCTTTGGGAAAAATAATAAATAACGATCAAAATACGAATTTCTATGAAGCGTAATCGTTTTGTAGTAAATTAGTTTTTAACTGTTGAATATCTTTTTGTTATTTCCTATTATTGTATTATTGTAAGTATCGTATAATTTAGCCACCGCGCCACGTTAATAGATATTGACTAAATTTTTCAAACTTTTTCCAAACTAACTGTAAAATAAAGTTTTCAAAGAGGTCTGCACAAAATTAAAAAGCACTTCTTAAGCTTTTAATTCGTTTTTTACAAAACTCCACGATGTTGTTGAATCGTTGTAATGAGTTACGAGTGTGGTGGATGATTTTCGTTTTTTAATTTAATCTATTATACCTACTATGTACTGCGATGTAAAGAAAAATAGAATATATAGGTAATGATCCACGTGCACGATAAAAATATCACACGATGTACCTACCTAGACCACACCCATCACCGACAGCCAGCCAAACTACCTACTATATAGCACTTTTTTTTAAGCTCAGAATTTCTCGAATTGACGGAAGAACAGTCAGTTATGCGTTTGGCCGTGTTTGGCCAAAAAGAACAAGCGCCAAAAACATCTTGTAGGAATTTTATTTTAAATTTAAATTTCTATATAGCAAAACAAACTGTATATAATATTACGATTATGTTTATCAATAAATATTCAAAACTTCCGAATTAGAGATTTATTTAAGCGTTGTGACAACAATATTTTTTATCTCGTTGTGGATTTTACATATTCTCTACTCATTGCATTAGGTTATACTCAGCTCCACATTACAGTAGATTGAAATTTATAAGTTTATTAGGGACCTTGGACCAATATTTTTTTGAGATGGTGATCTGATCTCCAGTCTTCCCAAAAACATTGGTATGATAAAAAAAAAAAAACCATGAATTTAATATACCTACTGGTATATATGCAATAATAGTGTATCAAGATTAAATTTTCATATTGTTACAGAACTAAATATTCTACATTTCAAAAATCATAAAGAAACTAACAGTATATACCAACATAATATGTAGATTACGTATATACATAAATTATAGATATCTACGCGTAAAGTCGTAAACATTTTTACTCTCTTATTAATTGATAAAATCTTGTACGCTGTTGACGTTATAGCGAATCTCAAATTTATCTTCTGTTTATTTTATTATTTAGTAAAATAAACAAATAAAACTATTCAAATAATAGACGAGAGGGTATAAACACATTTTATACCTGCAAGCTATGTTGCCCATCAAAAAATAAAGTCCTAGATATCTCATTGGTAGGTTATAAATATATTTTAAAACTAGAGCTCGGATTTGTAGGTATCTGTTTGAATATTATTTTTGCGTATTATATTACAATTTTTTAGAGTCTGAACATAGCGATGAATGTAT